GACCCCAGACACTATACTTTTTGATAGCCGGGCACCATCAGCTTTCTTCGCCACATTTGCTTATGCACCCATTGATCACCCTGTCTTTTGTCCTGTGGAGCCACCGGGTGGATTCAAACCTCTCACCTTTGGGTTAGCAACTACACACTTTCACCGTTGGCCCACCGGGCTCCTGTGTCAATGTTGCATCCTTGAATACGGCATGTCATTCTTTTCTGGGCAGAAGCATGACTTGGGCCATACCTGAAAAATTGGATGTTTTCTACGACGTTACTGGTGCTTGTACATACAGTCTGGGATTCAGCAAATGCTTATTGAGAACTGACCTCTTGTGTCTGGACCCCGTGCCGGGCATGTTTTGGAAATACAGAGATGGGGAAGACTTGTTCCTATCCTAAGAAACAATGGTCTACACAAGAGACTGGGGCATGCTGCTGCGAGGGAGAGTTCCCAGCAATCTTGCACCGGGCAGGGATTGTTTTTAATGGTGGCTCTGGGAAGACTCGGAAGGAGGTGGCATTGGGAATGAAGCTTTAGGGTCACTTGGTGTAGTCCGAGGGGATTGGTTCATTCACATGAAGAGGTGGCAGTGGACAGACAGGGAAGACTTGACCGTGAGCCCTTAGTGGGCTGGTGTAAAGGGTAACAGTCGGTGGGGGTGCACACCCTTGTTGGCCAGGGCCCCGCTCCGTGAGCCAGCTAAGAGACTCAACCCCAGGTATATTTTCTGACCTGATAGAACATCGACATCATGTTCCCAAGGAACCACCCTCAAAATCACGTCATTTGTTTTTAAGGGCGTACTTTTTCCTCAGAAGAGAGACGCTTAACGCTACAAGCCGCAGCTCTGAGGCACTGACCCGGCTGATTTCCTGAAGTTGGTTCTCTGGGTAGCTGAGGCGAGAATGGAGGACGCTGTCTTGGTCAGCAGCCTGCTCTGCATGGCTAGGAAAGAGACGGGGCAGCGGGGCAGCAGAGAGCGGGGGTGGCATGGAGGCCCGGCTGCCTGGCCTCATGCCCACTCCGGGCTCAAACTCAAAGCAAGGCTTGGGGTGGTGGGCACCGAGGGATGGGCGAGCACAGGCTGGGGCTGGGTGGCCGTCGGTCAGAGAGGGCCTGTGAGGGGCAGGGGCCAGGACTGCCTCATCTGCAGCCCCCATGGGGAGAAAGCACCCTTTGCTCTCGGCAGTGCCAGCCAAGTGTCCACTAAGTTACAGAGCCAAAGGCTGGTTGACAGGGTCCCCACCCCAGCAGCCAGATCTACTGAACTGTGCAGTGGTCTGCTGAGGGCTTCCCCAATGGAGACGTGCCCGACTGGCCCAGGACATAAGGAGCCCGCCCTCCCTGCATGAAAGACCGGGAGGCTGAGTGGAGGGCGCCCTCCCCCACCTCCAGTGACAGTGCCACTGTGTGGTGGCCCACCTGCCACATTCCATGTTCCTGGTGCCCCCTGGTGGCACGTAGGATACCCCTGGGAGCTGGCACCTTGGGAAACTGTGGGCCACTGTGGTCCCTGCTCAGGCCTCACCCCAACCCAGGCCCCCATTGAGGGGAGAATGAGGCCCTTCTCAGCCACGCAGGGTGATAGGCACTGTCCTGCTTGGCCTCGCACTCAAGGTGACGGAGGCCACCTCTCCCTCTGCCGAGGGGGGGGGGGTACCCGATGCCAAGCTCCTTTCGTTGGCCGACTGGTTGTACTCTTGGCCTGGCCCGTGACAACTTTTCGGTGGAATGGGGGACAACGCCAGCTATCTGGGATGAAAAGAATCAGATCTCTCCACACCTCACAGACTCGGGGTTTGGGGCCAGCAGCCCGTGGAGCCCCTGTGGCTGTTTTCTGGGAGTTCTTGTGCTGGGGGGCCAGGGGGAGCTCCTGCTGCCCTCCTGGGAAAGCCTAACCCCCTCTACACCCCCATAGGCCCTTTCTGCTGCTGCCTCCGCTGATGGAGTGGATGCGCGTGGCCATCACGTACGCAGAGCACCGCCGCAGCCTCACCGTGGACAGCGGCGACATCCGCCAGGCCGCCCGCCTGCTGCTGCCTGGCCTGGACTGCGAGCCCCGGCAGCTCAAGTAGGGGTCCTGGGAGGGGGGAGGGGGGAGGGGGAGAGACGGAGGATGGGCGCGGGCTCCACTCCCTCCCCAGAGCTGCTGGGAGGGGTCAGAAAGCCCTGAGGACGGTCCTGGAGCCCGCCCAATCTGGACCTCAGCTGCCCTGCAGCTGCTTCTGCAGCCCCCGCCTTAGGGCACAGAGGAGACCTGTGTTTGGATTTGGGCGGGAGCGTTTACACAGTCTGACTCTTCTGGATCTGTGGGGATGTGGGGGGCGGCGGACTCTCTCTTTCCTCTGTCCCTGTAATGCCCACCATTTTCTTGAACACGCACTCGATGCAGACACTGGGCCAACCCTTCCTCTTTGCACACACTGTCTTATTCCTTGTGACAATGTGTGAGAGGAAGGACTAGAATCCCATAGTACAGATGAAGGAACTGATGGCCAGAAAGGCCCCATCGTCTGCCTGCAAAGACTCGGCTAGCAAAGTGCCAAGCCAAGATTTGAACTCAGGTCTAAACACAGCCCCCACGCCCCGTCTCTCAATTTCTTTCCCAAACCGCCTCTTGTGTTGACTCATGTCTGGACGTTCCCGGACGCGGGTCCCTCTGAGCACCCTTGGCCTGGGAAGCCTCTGATCCAAAGCCTCCGGAGGCCTCAGTCACCCCACGCTCCCTACACGCCCAGCCCAGGGTCCCAGCCACCAGGGCCCCGCCGCCATGCCTCTCACCTGCGTGTCTCTCCCGGGCAGGCCCGAGTGCTGTTTCAGTTCCTTCCGGAGGCTGGACGCCAGAGCGGCAACCAAGAAGTTCAACCAGGACCTGGGTTTCCGAATGCTCAACTGTGGGAGGACGGACCTCATCAGTCAGGCCATCGAGGCCCTGGGTCCCGACGGGGTGAACACCGTGGACGACCAGGTGAGACCAGAGAGGGGATTTGACCGTTGCCAGAGTTGGTGACAAGGGCCATCCTGTCCTCACCTTAGAACTTGCTCCTCTTGTGCCCGCTTCAGGGGGAAGGTCCAACACTCGTGTGGGAACGCCTTGTCCCATGGACTCAGCTTCCCTGCTGGGTGGCTGAAGACTGTTCTGGGTGGTACAGGGCTCAGGGGAAAGGTCAGTGGTCAGCTTGAAAGCCCCTGTGTATGATGGGTAATAATGCTGCACTGCTGGTGCTGTCGGGTAAGCCTTGGACTGCTAGCCCCAGGTCTGAGGTTCACACCCACCAGCTGCTCAAGGGAAAGATGGGCCTCTCTGCTTCCTTAGAGATTGACAGCCGTGGCCACCCCACACAGGTATCCCTGGGCTCAGGGGCAGTGGGTTTGAGCTTCGGCATGTGCCTCCTCTGTGCCAGGCACTGTGCTAGGCTGGGGGGTGCAGCAGTGGGCAGAGCCCAGAGAAACCCCCATCTCCATGGGGTGGCTGGGACGAAGGAGGAAACAATCAGAAACGTAAGCATGTGGTGGACAGAGCATGTTAGATAGCGAAATGAAGCAGGAACCGAAGTGTAGGACGCACTGCTCTTAGGGTTTTAGTTATTTGGGTGGTTTATTTTCGCTGTGAATAGCACTGCCTGTGTTTTTAGGATAGGAGCCGGGCAGCACTGTGGGCTAGGCATTGGGCTCCTGACTGCTAGGTCGGCTGTTCAAACCCACCAACCACTCCTGGGGAGAAAGCTGAAGCTGTCTGCTCCTGTAATGTAAATAGTTACAGCCTTGGCATCCATAAGGAGCAGTGGGTTGGTTTTTTGGTTGGACTGTTTCTCAGGCTTTGGTCTAAGTACTTCACCTGAATCGGCTCACTGAGTCCTGACAGCAGACCCGGGACAGAGGTACTGTTGTTCCCACCCCACCCCCAATCTTACATTGGAGGCAGCCGAGTGGAGAGGCTGCAACTCACCAAAAGCTACACAGCTCGTCGGAGTTAGAAGCAGCAACCCAGGCGATCTGACTCCAGGCTTGTAACCCTCATGGGAGAGTCCAGAGCGGGGCTTATGCCGATGTGGTTACTTGCCATGGAAAGTTGGGTGACAGGGGCAGGCGATCCCCTCAGATGCAGTGACAGACAGCCCAGCCCAGGGAGGAGGTGGGGAGGGGTGGTTGCATTAAGCCTAAGAGGTGGGCAGGATTGGGGGTGGGAGAAGATTTTAGAGAGGGGTGATGGGGACAAGAAAGAGCATGGCCTGTGCTCAGGTGGAGGTGAGGAGGCCCTGGGGTGCTTTCACGGGGCAGCAGGGTGGAGCAGGCAAGTCATGGGGTACCCGAGGGCTGGGGTCAGTTCAGGTGGCAGGGCCCAGCACAGCTTTCACCGGAAGGCCTCTTGGCCCTCCTCCCCAGCGCAGCAAGAAAGCCCTAGGCATCTGCACCTGGGCTCCAGGCAGGCATCTCGAACAAGGCGCTCGGCCTCCCCGAGTCCCGGGCTCGTGCCTCTGCGGTGGGGGGACGATAGTGCCGCTGGCTGGGATACGAAGAGGAGTGTGCCTCTTGCGTGTTGTGAATGCCCCATAAGGAGAGGAGTGTGCCTCTTGCGTGTTGTGAATGCCCCATAAGGAGAGGAGTTTGCCTCTTGCGTGTTGTGAATGCCCCATAAGTGCCGGCCCTGGTTTCTGCTGGCAGGATGATGGGGATCAGGAGCCCTGGGATGCAGTGGTTAAGCGCTCCGCTACTAAGCGCGAGGTCAGAAGTTCGAACCCACCCAGAACCTCCATGGGGAAAACCCTGGTGGTCTGCTCCTGTGGGCATGGCAGCCTAGAACACCTGAGGACAGTCCTAGCTCATCACATCACTGTTACGATCATCCCGGCCTGGCCATTGTCACCCCTGAAAGCTGTCGGCGGCTGCTTTCCTGAGGTGTCTCAGGTGGAGCTGGGACAACACTAAAAGGCCTTTCTCCCAGGAGGGCCCGGGGCCCATTTACACTGGGAATTGCACGCAGATGTGTGAGACTGAGAGTGGGTCCTGTGTGTGTCCAGCGGGCACAGCAGAGCCAGCGTCTCACTCTCGAAGGTGGCGCTTCGCTAACTGCTGGATGCTGCCTATTCCCTAGGCCCTGGTGTCTCTGCAGCCTTCTCTGAGCGAGCAGGCCACTCGGGCCATTTATTTCTGGGCACAAGGTAAGAATTTATGAGGGGTGAAGGTCTTGTCCACACACGAGTAACCTAATGAACTCAGGGCTGCACTTTCCACTGCTGCCTCTGCTAGGCCTGGCCACGGAGAAAGGTCCCTGCCAGGAGGCCGCCCATGAACACCCTCAACTCGGGGAGGGGCAGGCCCCGAAAGAGCTCTGAACTCTGAACAGCCCTGCACACCACGTCACTGTCAAGGACATCCAAGATCTGGGGCTCACCACTCCGAGTTCCACCCTGTGCTGGTTGGGCGAGCCTGGACGCCTCTCTGCCCCATCTGTAAGATGGGGACAATACCGTTGCTGCCAGCTACTGTGACTCACAGAGACCTATGTACAACAGAACAAAACACTGCCCGGTCAGCCTCGCCATGGCCCACCGCCATGGCCGCCCCGAGGCCCCGGCCCTCGCTGGCCCTCTAGCTCTTGGAGCGTGTCCTCCTTAGCAACTGCTCCCTCCGGAGAGTGGAACCAAGCGAGGGAGTTGGACGGCACACCGCTGGGACCCGCGAGGTTCTGTTTCCTTTTATGGTCCATCTTGCTCGTGGTTGAGACCACGCGAACAACATGCGCCAGTTCAGCAATCTCTACAGAGACGTCAGTGACATTCTTCCAGTGGGGCGACCATTCCCACCCTCCCGTCGTAAGATTTTCAAGGGCTAATTCTCAGAAGTTCATTGCCAGGCCTTTCTCCCGAATTTCTCTGGAGCTGGAAGCTTTGCTGCAGCCTGTCCACCACAGGTGACCTCCCGGTCTTTGAAATACTCATAGCACAGCGTTCAGCCTCACAGCAATGTGCTTGTCAGGTGGGCAGGCAGGGGTCCAGACCCAGCGCCGGCCAGGAGATTGCAACTCACAGCCACCCCGTGGGGCAAAGCAGAACTGCCCCGTGGGGTTTCTAAGCCTGGAGATCTCTACCAAGCAGATTGCCGCAGCTGGTGAGTCCGAACCACTGACCCTTGTCAACAGCCACGTGCCTAACCACTGTGTCCCAGGGCTCCTTCCTTCCAGGTGGAAAGAACGCCTTTCCCTGGACTCTAGGCCTAGAGCCTTGGAAACTGGAAGGAACAGGTCTGCTGTGGCCCCCAGCTCCCTCTGGGTTGCGTCCCACTTGATAGCATGGGGCTTTTATGAGGTCAGTACTGTCATCGTTGCTCTCAGTTTAAAGATGAGGAAACTGAGGCAGAGGGGCAGTAAAGAAACTTGCATAAAATCTACGCAGCCGGTGGCAGCGCTGGCCCTGGCGTCTGGCTGGAAACTCTGCTCTGCGCTGCCCTCGTGTCTCCCCTGCAAAGCTGTGGCAGTGCCCCCAGAGGTACCCTTCGGGTCCTGTGTCCAGAGGACCTAGGAGAGGCAGGCTGGTTGAGCACTAGGCCCAGGGCAGTTCTGGGTGAATAGTTTTCGCAGACAGGAGTTCAGACCTGTGGTTTGAGGCATAGACCTGGGGAACATGGGCTCTGTTCCCTGACAACCTTGGTTCTTGCAGGGCATGACGCCGCTAATGTACGCCTGTGCTGCTGGGGATGAAGCAATGGTCCAGATGCTGATCGATGCTGGAGCCAATCTGGACATCCAAGTGAGTCCTGCCCAGGGAGTGGCCCTTAGGTTCCCCGCCCAACTCTGGAGCCCCCGAGCCCCATCTTGGCCAGCAAACATGTGGACAACTGGGTGGGTGGGTCTCAGAGGGCTGCAAACACAGGGTGCCTAGGGATCACAGTTAGCAATGGATTTTCCTCAAGATTTTGGCATGTAGAAGAATAGCCATGATTCTGTTTCTGTAGCACCTTCCCCTTTTTACCAACTTGATACCCAGCCATCCTGCCCATGCCTGGTACTTTTCTAGCCCTGCCTCCCTATGAAGCACATAAAATGCTTCCCTTCAGCTTATCTTGCTCAGGGCAGATATCACCAATTGAGCATCCACTCATTGTGCATTTTCTCTATACAGTGCTCCAGGAAGACATTACCAATCAACTATAAATGCCACTAGAGTCATATCCTTTTCTCCATCCCTATAGGGTACACTCTCAGCGTAGGTACCTATGTCATCCTCCGGAAGTGTCACCCACAGCCCCCCCAGGATACACTGATCGTTTTGGAATTTTCCAGGTTCCTAGCAACTCTCCCAGGCACCCATCTGTCCACCCTGACAGCCGGCACTGGACCTCACTGACGTTTGCTGTGCTGCACGGGCACATCTCTGTGGTTCAGGTGAGTACCTGCCACCCACCCCCGACCCCCTACTTCGCCCCGCAGCCATCCCCCCCGCAGCCAGGTGGGCTTGCCTCCAAGCATCACTTCCACTGCCTCCACCCAAGGTACCAGAGGTCACACTGAAGGTCTGGCTCACTAGGTGGCCAGGACAGGGGCCCCATGGTTTACCTCAAGGAAAGGCGTGTACATGTGGAATCTCAGGAAACAGGGCCCAGGTCACTTAAGGCTCCAGGCCCACCTGCCTGGCATCTCTATGCATGTGCTCAGCCCTCTGCCCAAGGCCAGCTTAAATTCTGCTGCAGTGCCAGCCTATAGCATGACATCCTCCCTGCTCCTTCCTCCTACCCATTTCCTGGCTCCTGGAAGGTTTCAGATTGGCCCAGGTGGCTGTGGCTGGTATGAGGCTCGGGGTGGCTCAAGAAGTGGGAAGTACATGCTGACTGGTCCCCACACCAGCATGGCCAGTGGCCATGCCACCATGGGACTCCAGGCTCCCTTGCTGCTAAGGGGCACCAGAGTCAGCAGAACGCTTGCCTCTCTCTCCTGGGAGTTTGTGTAGCCCCACGCTGTTCATTAGGCTGGGACCCTGCCAGGCAAGACCCTGTCTTCTTCAACCACCCGTTGCAGCCCAGCCTGGCACTCAGGAGGGACTCAGTGGAGGGTGGCCACTGTCTGGCTGCTTCTCCATTAATGCTTAAGCGTTTGCGACCTCCCTAGCCCAGACTGGGCCTGTCTGGACCAGTGCCCAGGTTTGCCCAATGGCAGGCTCCACCTCTGTTGCCTTGACACTTGCCATAGCCCTGGTGCGAGAACTAGGTTCTGGTCAACCGGCATCTCCAGGCCTGCAGGTCCCTGCCCCCCACTCACTGCGTGGAGGCTGAGGGACCCCAAGCTCAGCCTTCTTGAGCTGGACCCCACCCAGCTGGTTCCCAGGTGAAAGGCAGGCGGTGGTTCCCTGGTGAAAGGCAGGCGGTGGTTCCCTGGACTGCCAGCTTCCGGCTGAGGAGGGCTGGTCTCCAGAAACCTAGGGAGGATGGACAGCCTCTCCCTTCCAGAGCAGCCCTGCAGGAAAGGCAAGCTGGAGCTGCAAGTCACCTTCTGGATTCAGGGAAACCCCTACCCTGCCCCCAGGCAAAGCTGGCGGGGCTCAGCCAGGACAATTTGGCATCTGTTAATCCATCCCACCTATCCCTGGAGAGGCTGTGTTTGTAGGAGTGGAGAAAAAGGCCACCTGTCCCCTGGGCAACATGGCTCTGGCTCTAGCCCCAACATTTCCAGGCTGTAGGTGGCTGGCTGAGTCTCTCCAATGCAGGCCAAAGCCACTAAATAATGCCCCACCCCCCACCCCAGTCTCTTGTTTCGTCTAATGCCCAGTCATTGTAGGGTAGACATCACTTCCCACTTCACAGACGAGGAAGATGGTGAGCCAGCACGTTGAAATGCCTGACCCAGGTCACTCAGGGTTTGGTGGCCAACATCGGCACCCAGACTGCAGCACAGTTACAGTACCTTCCCCAGCAGCAAGGCGCCTCACGTCCTTGGTAGATGTTACCCGCTCATCAGGAATTCTTAGGAAGGTCGCTGTGGATAGAGAGAGGCTCAGACTAACCCCACAGCCTTGGAGGTTAGTCTGGGGGCACAGGAGCAGAGCTGAAAATTCTAGACAACTGGAGTCCCGGGGGTAACGAGGTTCTAGGGTTCCAGCCCCTCCGCTGCCTGGATAAGCCCTGCCTGGCTCGGGCCCTGAGGCCTCCTGCCACGCCCCTGCCAAAGCTGAGTGCCGCTTCCTCTGTGCCCCTGGCAGCTGCTGCTGGACGCTGGTGCCCACGTGGAGGGCTCGGCAGTGAGCGGCGGGGAGGACAGCTACGCTGAGACGCCCCTGCAGCTCGCCTCGGCAGCCGGTGGGTGCACTGCCCTGCCCCCAGCGGGCTCACTCACTAGAAGGCTTGTCCAGTCCCTTCCCCAGGTGTTGTCACTGCGGCCCCTTCAGAATTGGCTGGGCCTGTCGCTGGACGTTGGCCACCTGTGCACACACACACACACACACAGACCTCTGTGGGGAGCTTTGAAACCCCACGTCCGGGGCCACAGGGGGCTCCCCCTCCACCCGTCCATGTGTTTCTACTGAGGTTGGTGCAGAGCCAAGCACAGGGAGGGGAGAGACGAGGACAGGGCGGGCCTTCTCCTGGGAGGGGCCACACTGACTGGACTCTGCCAGCCTGCCTCCCCACCTCCCTCCTGAGCTCAACAACCCCTCCCCAAAACACAGGCGCATGGGGTTCATTTCCCCCACCCTCGGTTGGCCTCCCCACGCCCCATTGGCACCCACTGCCTTGTCTTTCAGGGAACTACGAGCTGGTCAGCTTGCTGCTGAGCAGAGGCGCCGACCCCCTCCTCAGCATGCTCGAAGCCCACGGCATGGCCTCCTCCCTGCATGAGGACATGAACTGCTTCAGCCACTCGGCTGCCCACGGCCACAGGTGCCTGCCCGCCACAGTGTCCCTATCCTGCCTGGTGGGGTGGGGTGTGCAAGACAGACTCTGGGGGGCCCCTGTGTCCCAACTGGGCACAGAAGGGCTATACCTTGACATCTGGACAGAGATGGGGGCCTGAGTGCACATCAGCCTGGAGACACAGATCCCCGGCTAGCATGGGGCCTGGCACCGTGGCTGGGGGGGGCGGGTGTTGGCCAGGGGAGCGGCTGGTGGGCCAGGTCACTGAACAGTCTGAAATCAGTGCTGTGACCTGGTGCTGATATGCTCCCCTCACAGCTGGCAGCTTCTCGGGAGAAGCTGGGCCTGAAGGAAGACAAATCGTTTCCTCCTGCTCCACCTGGGACTCGTGCAGGCCTGACTCCCAGGCCTCGGGCTTCCCAGGGACAGGGACCTCACTGCGGAGCTTCTGTTGCCCCTGATGCGGCCTGTGCTCCTGGGTGGGGTTAGAGGAGGGGCCCTGAGGAGGCCAGAGGGGCAGCCACAGTGGGAAAGCCCTTGTTTCCCCACTCCCGCTCCAGCCTAGCCCAGCGGTGGGTTCTGAAAGCAGGCCGCTCCTCAGAGATCTGCGGAAGCACTGTGGGGCCAGGGGTGGGGGGATGGGGGTGTTCCCTGCGTTCCCTGCGTTCCCTCTGCCTGCGTTACCGTAGCAAGAGCACAGCTAGACAGTTTTCCTGGTCCAGGGACAGCAAACACCACTGTTGCCCGACTCACACTCTCAGTAGACATCACACATCGATCTCCACGCTTTTTCCCATGAACTGAGCCACAGCATGAGCACCGGCACTGCCTGCAAGGGGAAACTGATTCATCTTCCCTGCTCCGGCCATCCCTCCGTTTCGCAGGTCTGGACACTGGGGCATAGCAAGATGCCGTGCTGGCTCTAGGCTAACTAGGACTGCTGCCTGGGCCTCCACTGCCTATGCTGGGTATGCCCCATTTCCCCCTAAGACTCTGCTCTGCAGCTGTCCAGCCCCCCTCAGGACCACGCCCCTCCTGTGTTTGGCAGTGGCTCTCCAGTGGCCTCAGAGGGTCCCTGGGATGACTCCATGCATCATATGGCTAGGCCAGAGGCTGCTGGCACCACAGCCAGCCCCCAGAGCAGATGGCGGACCTTGTTCTGCGGGGACTGGGCCTCCCCCATGGGTAGCGGGCAGCAGAGGAGAAGTCGGAGCCAGTGAGCGGCACTGGGGCCAGAGCAAGGGAGAGGAGGGGAGTGGGTAGGGACTCAAAGTGCTTAGCCCCATGGGCCTGTCTCTCTGTTTCTCTGTCCATCACTTCCCTTGTCCTCCCTGGAGGCAGGACCTTACACAGTCTCATGCCAGGTACAAAGTAGGTGCTCTGTAAACATGAGCTAGCACCACAGCAAAGAGGAGGAGCCAGTGACAGCCAGCCACTTGGGGTGACCTGGACCACAAGTGTGGCTGTGACCTCCATCGGGGGCATTAGGGACCGTGGGGTGACCATAATCATCTCAGAGCCACAAGCCTGGGTTTGGATATGCCTGGCCCACGGGACCTCGGGCAGGATACATCCATCACCTGTGACGACTGACAGGGGGTGTGGGCTCTCCCAGGGCTCAGGGAAGAGTGTGGGGCCGGCTCTGTCAGGGTGTGATATCCTATAGGTCCTCAGTGTAGGACTGGCTCTGTCAGGGTCTGCACCGTCCTTTAGGAACTCAGCGTAGGGTATCAGACCCTTAATTGCCATCCATAGTTGTCACCAGGTTGATTCTGCCCATGCACACAGAGCACAGCCACTCCTTAAGGTTTCCCCGGGCACAGGTGCAGGCCCACACTGCCTCTGGGTGGGTTTGAACTGCCAGCATGTTAGCTGCAGCTGGCTGCTTAACCGAGGGCTCCCCGCAGGGCCCTGGGACATGACGTGGCCCCTGCATAAGAAAGGCTGCCTTGGGAGAGCTGCGGTGTGCAGCCCTGCGGCAAAGACCCACACAGTAGCCCAATGGGAACCAGGGAGGGAGGCAGCAGTCAGGGCTCAGAGAGGTCAAATACCAGCCCGAGGTCACACAGCGAGGGTTCAGGGGGCTGGAGGACAGGGTCACCCGAGCTGACCCTGTCTTGTCCAAGGGGCTGAGATGGGACTGCTGGGGTCCTACCTGGTTGCCTGGCCTGGGCAAGGAGACCACTGGCCCTTGGCATGATGCCCTGCGTGAAGGCCGCTCAGCGGGCTGACACTGTTTCCACTGTGCCTGCAGGAACGTCTTGAGGAAGCTCCTGACGCAGCCGCAGCAGGCCAGGGCGGACGTGCTGTCCCTGGAGGAGATTCTGGCTGAGGGCGTCGAGGAGAGTGACACGTCGAGCCAGGGCAGCGGCAGCGAGGGCCCTGTGCGGCTGAGCAGAACCCGCACGAAGGCCCTGCAGGAGGCCATGTACTACAGCGCCGAGCACGGCTACGTGGACATCACCATGGAGCTGAGGACGCTGGGTGAGACTCTAGAACGGGGGCTCCAGTGGGTAGGGCATCCCTCTGCCCACCTAGGCCTGCAGGCGGGCCCCGTCTTCAGGCTGCCCCCCTCTCGGCTCAGTGTGTCCAGCCAGGAATTGTAGCACTGAGTCAGACAGCAGGTCCTCTCTGGGCACCCACATGCTGCCCTGGCGTTGGGAAGGCTGTGCATTTTCCTGACCCCCAGGAGTCTCGTCAGACAGGCAGGCAGACTGAGTCCAATCCCCGCTGCACTGCGGTGATCTTCAGGTCGTGCAATCACGCCATGCCTTAGTGGCCCAGCCTGTTTGGTGGCGAGGACACCAGGGAAGAAGGTGACGGTGGCACACACTGCTCATAGCCCAAGGTCTCCTCCATCGGAGAGAGCAGCGTGGTTATGATCATGGGACCCCCGGGGCTGGGTAAGGAGAACAGGAGGTCCCACGAGAGCCCGCCTCCAGGTTCTTGCCTGTAAAATGGGCACATGACTACACCTCCAGCCAGTGAACTGAGAACGCTGAGCACCGCCTGGCTGGTGTGCCCCTGGGGAGGCCGGTCGTTGTCTGTAATCTGCAGTGAGGCCGGGGGGCTGCCGGGAGAAGAGCTCCTTCATTGCCAGGAACGTGACTAGTTTGCAGTCCGGGCTTTGCAAAGTCCCCAGGCCCTGTTGGCACGCTGCGGGGAGATGGAAGCAGCAATGGTTGGTGTCCAGGGCTGTGGACATGGGATCTGGGAGCGGGGAGCAGGGAACACCCCCTGGGTGAGCGGGGGTCATTTCAGGCTCCCAGACCTGGTGTCCTGCATGCTTTCTGGGCATCTGTGTCCATCTGGCTACCCCTAGCTTGTAGAGGAGTCTTGGGTGGTATGGGCTACGTGTTGGGCTGCTAACTGCAAGGTCAGTAGTTTAAAACCACCAGCCGCTCCACCGGAGACAGATGAGGCTTTCTCCTGTAGAGGAAGCCCAAGGGGCAGTGCTCCCTGCCCTGCAGGGTCGCTGTGAGTCAGCCTCCACTCATCTGATGCAGGGAGGGAGCTTCTCATGCACATCATTCCAGGGCCCATCAGGTGGCAGGGCAGCTGTGAACTGTGGGTCCCTTGAAGGTGCCCAGCCGAGCTGTGCGTGTCCCTGAACTTGGGCTGAGGCCATCTGTCAGGTTAGAACGGAAGGTCCCCTCTGCCCTGTCATCGAGGCCCATGGGACCACGTGACACTTTGCACAGGCCCCACTCTGCCTGCGGGGGATGGAGGGCTCCCTGCCCACAGCCAACAGGCTCTCTAGGGGCCGGCACAGTGCCGGCACGGAGTCAGGCGGGGAGCACTGCGCAGGGTCACTCACTGCCTGTCCCGGCCAGGCGTCCCCTGGAAGCTGCACGTCTGGATCGAGTCTCTGCGGACCTCGTTCTCACAGTCCCGGTACTCGGTGGTGCAGAGCCTTCTGCGGGACTTCAGCTCCATCAAGGAGGAGGAGTACAACGAGGAGCTGGTGACCGAGGGCCTGCAGCTCCTGTTCGACATCCTCAAGACCAGCAAGGTGAGCGCCGCCCTGGCCTGCTCAGAGGAACCCCTGGGCTTGGGGGGGATGGAGGCCAGCTCATCCGAGGCTGAGCTATGCAGGGCAGGCCCCCCTTTCCCAGCTGGACAGCAGACAGAGCTGCAGCTGGGAACCGGCGGCCACAGGAGGCGAGCTAATGGCCTTCCCTGCCGCCCCTCCACAGAACGACTCCGTCATCCAGCAGCTGGCCGCCATCTTCACGCACTGCTACGGCGGCAGCCCCATCCCCAGCATCCCTGAGATCCGCAAGACCCTGCCCGCCAGACTAGGTGAGGGCGCCGGCCAGCTCCTCCCACCCAGCACACACACTCCTCTCTCTCCTCTGCGTGTGTGCGCGTGTGCCACACACACAGATGATCACCTCGGTCTCCTTGTCCATCTCCACACCCCAAGGCCCTTGCCGCCGGTTCTCTCCCCGCTCCATACCGCCCCCTCTGGTACGCAGGGGCTGAGCACTCAGCTGCTCACAGTGAGCCAAGGGCTGGAGCCCACCAGAGGCTTCGCGGGGAGCAGACCTGGGTCTGCACTCCCACCAGGACCACGGCCCAGGAACCCCTGTGGGGGGTCTGGTCTGTCCTCAGGCTCGCAGAGAGGACCTTACAACCCCCCACCCTGTGCCTATCCTCCGTCTTCCACACCCACTCTCCCCTTTCTGTGCAGATCCTCACTTCCTGAACAACAGGGAGATGTCGGACGTGAGCTTCCTCGTGGAAGGAAAGCTGTTTTACGCACATAAAGTCCTGCTGGTGACGGCATCTAACAGGTAGGCGGCCGTGGGTCATGGAACCGACCCCTGATTAGAAGGCTCCTCTCTGGCTGGTGAGATTGTGAAACTGTGCGGTCTGGGGGTTCCTCAGAGGTAACCAATGAATTACGTTGTTGATTGTTGCTGCTGCTGCGGCCGCCACTACTGTAAAGCACCTTCGGATGGGCTGACTCCTAGCCAGCATTGGTCCTAGAAGGAAACAGCCTGTCCCTGCCCGTCCTCATCCCTCCTTATGTTCGAGCCTGGGGACGGTCAGCCGTGTCTTTGAGGGTCTCCTTTTTCCAGTGGCCCTCTTCTTTACCAAGCAGGATGCCCTTCCAACCAAAAACAAACTCACTGCCGTCGAGTTGATTCCAATGCTCAGCACCCCTCCAGGACCAAGTGGTCCTGCCCAGGGATCCCTGACTCCTAGGGGTCTGCCCTGAAGAACCCGAAGCAGGCACTGGCCCAGACACGTGCCCACCAACATTTATAACGGTTTGCTCAGAGCATCCACGAGGGGGGAAGCAAACCAAGCACCCGTGACCAGACGAATGGTTAGCCATGATAGGGCCGGCCCATACAGTGGAGCACTTGTCTAAAAAGCATGCTACAGTGTGGGTGAACCTTTGCCGCAGGGAAAATAAGCCCACCACCCAAGGGAAGACTGTCAGGGTTTCACAGTAGGAAATCTCTCGAGTAGCCTATGTGGAGGGGCCAGTCCTGGAGAAGGAAGGGCATCCTGCTTGGTAAAGCAGGGGTCAATGAAAGAGGAAGGCCTTCAGCCATCTGGATGGGCCACGTGGCTCCAGTTGCGATGACAGGGCCCGGGTGAGAATGGCCCGTGCCCAGGCTATTCTGCTGTGTTGTCTCTGGCGTGTCTGCATCAGCTCTGACAGCGGCAGCACCACCCCCGAGACTGGACTGATCATTGGTCACCTGGAGGGATGGGTGAGCCATGGCCTCGGGCACACTGAGCTTTTGTTATGGGTGATAGTCACCGATTTGCTGGAAAGATGTGTCGGAGCACCCCCGCGCGCCCCCGCCCCCAGCCCTGCCCTTCAGCCTATGGTCATATCCACAGAGCCTCTACCACCCTCACAGGAGGGCCTGAAGCAGGTTCAGTGGGGAGACGTGGGATTGGGGCCCAGCGTTATCAAATACACATCCGGAGGTTTCGTTCATTCTGTTTGCCTTTGGGTGTTAGCACAGATGTTCTGGAAGCAGGAGCCCCAGGGCATTGTGGCCTCTCGAGCTGAGAGCAGCCAGGGGCAGCCCAGGCTTGGCTCAGCTCTCAACCCAATGTCACTTGCGGAGAATGATTTTGGGAGCCTCCAATCAAGCAGCCAGGGAATGGATGGGCCATGGCTGCCGTGGAGATGGAGTGAGTCACAGTCAGGACCCCTTTGTCCCTTCTCCTCTGCTCCAGGTTCAAGACCCTCATGACCAATAAGTCAGAGCAAGATGGCGACAGCAGTAGCAAGACCATCGAGATCGGCGACATGAAGTACCACATATTCAAGGTGTGTGGTGCTCAGCATCCATGCCCCACCTCCACCCCACCCTCATCTCCCCATCTGGATCTGGGAGGTGGGGAGGCAGCTCCCAGTCAGTCCTCATATTCTGCACCCCACGGCCCTCTGGGCACCTGCCAATCCATGCCCCGGGTTAGAGCGTCCGGGCTCTTCCCTGCCAGGGCCAGCCTCCCTCAAGTGGGACGGCTGCCTCAGATCTGTCCCAGCAGACAAACAGAGGTGTGAGGAGCACACCTTACAGGTACACAGGCTCTTGGACTCAAAGCTTGCTCCCAGTAAGTCTTTCCGTCACCCGGGAGGGGGCTGGGAGCCACAGAATCCCTGCTGCCTGTCGTACTCTGTCCAGCCCCCAGCAAGTCACAGTGAGGTGTGGGAAGCCCGGTAGCACCAAGCCCTCACCACGCAGCCCAGCAGGAAGGCAGAGGGAGCCCTGCTGCCTCAGAGTTCAGGCTCACAAGCTCCAGTTCTGAGCTTTGCAGAAAAGAGGTTTCATGGTTGAAGCCCACAGGAGGACTGCTAACAGGGTCTGGGGCGGAGAGCTGGTTGTGCCCCGCAGCCCCCAGCTGAGGGCTTTCCAGGAAGCGGCAATAGCAGTTTCTAGACTTGTGGCGGGCTCAGGGTTGCAGAGGCAGCTGGTGGATGGGTCTCAGGCTTCCCCTAGCAGGAGGCAGGCTTGTGACTTCGTGGGAACATCCCAGAGTCTCACAGAACACACGAGCCACCCTCAGCATGCCCCTGCTGCTCTCCTACTCTGCAAGCATTTGTCTGAAGCCATCCTTGTGCCAGACCGTGGGCTAGGTGTCCATGTGTGGTGGGGGACAGTTGAGTCCAGCTCCCAGCTCTTGTCCAGTCCTCTGGGGTCAGATGGAACCGGGCTCCGAGGAACAGTCAGTGACTGGTTTGGGGGAGAAGGTCACCGGGCCTTTCTCCCGAGCGTCCTCTGGGCGGACTCGAATCTGCAGCCTCCTGTTAGCAGCCTAGTGGGTGATCCTTTGTACTCCCCCAGGGATGCTGCTCATCAGGAGGCAGTCCGTGGGACAAGACACACTGTCCTGGAGAAGACACACTATGACATGGTGTGTGGGGAGGGGGTCACGGGCCGTGACAGCCCAGGAAAGGGCCTCTAACCCAGCCCAGGGGTGAGGGGCCTTCCCTGCAGGGAACGGCAGCAGCGCTGACTCTCCAGGCCTCGGGGTTGCCCGTGAGCAGCCAGGCTGCCAGGTAAAGCGAGCAGCACTTGTCAGCCAGAAACCTTCATGGCCAAGAAATCGCAGGGTACCCTGTCGCCGATGGGGAGCTACCACCTCACCGCCATCACATCACCACTGGCTTGGTTCCGCGTGCTTTAGAGCTGTTACTCACTCACGTCACACTCCTAGGATATACGGTGTGGGGGTATATTGTTACCCCTCCTGTAGATGAGAGGAGCTTCGGTGTGTTGCAGGGGGCTGCTCCCGACAGTCAGTGGTCCAGACCCTCCAGCCGCTCCCTGAGAGGACATAAGGCCATCGGCTGGCATGGACGGGCCTGCAGGTGCTTGTACTGCACCTTAGGGCTGCTGTGGGAAGGCACTCAGTGCCCAGCGACGGAGGGCTAGGCTGCCAGCCCGAGGGTCTGTGGTTTCCCTCCCCAGCCCACTCTGCTCGCTCCTGTAAAGATTGTGGTCTCAGAAACTCTGCGGTGGCCCCTCCCTGTCCTGTAGGGTCCCGTGAGTCAGCGTTGACTCCGCAGTGCACACGCACTTGAGAGGGAGGTGGGGATGCAGAGACGTTAAACCTCTTGCCCAGGGTCACAGCTGGGACGTGATGCAGGATTCAAACCCAGAATGCGTGGAACAGTGACGCTTAGAAAGCTTAGTCTGGAGGGGGAGGCCTGTGGAGGGGAGTGGCTGGAGCCCCAGGGCCACTTAGGAGACTGGTTGTAATGTAGCTGAGTGACATGGTGACACAGGCCCCTCAATCACTGGTGAGGTGGGAGGGTGGTCTTGGTGACTGCTGGGACTGGGGGTGTGTGGAGGGAGGCCCAGGTTCTGCTGTGGGCAGACAGGTAGGTGGTACCTCCCGCCCCCCCTGCCCCAGCCCTTGATTGGGACACTCTAGAATCTTGTTTGGCTACGAAGGGCAAAGTCCCAGTTTGCTGGCACATGCGGTTGTGTCGGGCTCTGGGATTGTGGGGGAGTGCGTGCAGGGACAAGGGCTGCCAGCCAATGGGAGGGAGAGGGGCCTCAGCCAATCCAGGCGGGCCTGTCTCTGCAGGTGAGCTGGGCCAGGTCACCCTGTCCCTCAGCTACAATCCAAACCTCTTCTGGGCCAGAACCAGCCCAACAGCCCTCGGGACTTTAAGGCTCGCTGGGCGCCGAAGTGGGGTGACAGCACTGACATCGGGAGCATGTTAGCTCCCTCCTGCCCCAGGCTGCCCACTGAGTCTGGCAACCATGTCGCCCTTGGCCCGGGGCACCAGCCAGCCTTGCCCCTTGCCCTCTGCTTCCTGAACTTTGCCATTACCTGGGGGTGTCGTTTCACGGGGCACCTCTGGACAGGAGCGCCCAGGGGTGGGTTGGCCTGGGGCTGCCTGCCAGCGCCCGCCCGGGCTTCCCAACAGAGCTGCAAAGTTCCACAGCAGGCAGCTCACACGGAGGGAGGAGGGCGTCCAACCAGTCCAGAGAGGTCTCGGCTTCCTGCTGGGGTCCATGCAAAGCCCAGCTGTCGCAAACGGGGGCCTGGCCAGCAGGCACCAGCCCTTCTCCTGTTCGTCCCATTGTCCTGGACCTGGTCAGTGGGCACTGGCCCCTTCTCTGTTGTTGAATCCAGCACCCTGTGACTGCTCTCAAACTGCAGGCAGGCCAGGCACCAGCAGAAAGGGCAAGTGGGCTGTTTCTCACTCTCCCACCTCGAAGCTCCAGGGCGCCTGTGTCCTCCCAGGCCTGGCCCCACTTCCGGCCTCAGGTGGCCTTCCCCAGACCCAGGACCAAAGGCCAACTCGTTCATTGCAAGGGGGTCCCACATCACACAAGATAGAAGAGACAGAAGCTGCCACTGCCATTTTCAGAGGAGGACAGAGCCCCGGTGACCCAGAGACCCACAGAAAAAAATGCAGGTGTCTCCTGTGGAAGAAGGAAAACAGAGCTCGGGTCGATTTAATAGAAGGTGTCAACTCAGACTGCCACCTACGGCTGCTTCACATGTAGTGGCCACAAAGTCAGCAAGGTGGTGGTCATCCTTCCATACGGCACACCGCAGCTCAGGCAGCCTCAGTCCATGCCAGGGCGCATAGGCCGAGAGACTTGCCAAGGGCGCCGTGGATGAATCCTAGTACTGTCAGTGGGGCTGCAGCTCAGGGGCAGGCCACGCGGAGCTGCAGTCTCCGCTCCCAGAGTCCCTACCCGGTGGAAGAGGGCCCCGAGCACGCTCCAACCAGTCCTGCCTGAAGCCTTCTCTCCTCAAGCTGCGCCCCAAGACTGCCTGCTTGGGAAGCAGTGGCAGGGGTGAGGAGTGGACAGCGCAGACTGCCACACCTGCCCCGGGCAGCCAGGCCGTGTGACATTAACTCTCCCTGCACCCTGCCTGCCCACAGCCTGCTCCCTGGCCCCTAAACAAGGCTCTCAGCGAGTAATCCTAGTCTGACGTCAGTGGTGGTGGTAGTTTACCAGCGACAGTCAATCCTGGCACACAAGGACCGAGTAGAACTGCCCCATGGGGTCTCTCAGCCTACAGCGACTCCTTTCTCCCACGCAGCCGACGGCTGATGAGTTCCAACTGCCGACTCTCCTGGGGGAAGCCAAGCACTAGCCATTGCGCCATCAGGCGCTGTTGTTCCCTGTGCGTGTGCGTGCATTTAAGGGACCTCAAGGAGGCACTGCAGGGTGCAGGGGCATGCCTCCCAGGCCCAGAAGAGGAGTGGGGAGCCGGCAGCTGTAGGCCGCCTTGATCCCTGGGCATTCTCTTGCCCCGGCTGCCCTGAGGCCAGCCTTCAGCAGATAACCATTCCAGCCCAGTAGGGAGTGTGCCAGCCAAGTCCCCAGAAGGCATACAGTTAGTGCCAGACTGCTGACCGGAAAGTTTGTGGTTCTCATCTGCCCAGAGGCGCCTTGCAAGCAAAGTCTGGTGCTTTGCTCCTGACAGGCTTCTGGTCCAAAACCCTGCAGAGCCGTCCTGCTCTGGCCCACAGGGCCCCGAGGCAGCCTGCTTGGGGCCTTTGGCTGTGGTTCCACAGCCCTGTGTGCCGGGCTTTGCTTGTGCTCCGGCTCCTTTTGTCTTGTTTCGCCACAGACCAGCCGTTTGGCTCTTGCGCTCCTCCAGCAGGGGGTGCCTTTGTGGGAGCAGCAGATTGGACCAGGAGGCCTGTGGTTCCCTGGAATGGGCACCCTGTTTGTTGGCAGAGCAGCCAGTACCCTGCCTCCGCCTCCCTAAACCCTCTGGGGCCTCCTCCAGCCAGGCCGGCTGGAGCCTAGATTTATCTCCCACAATGCCAGCTCCTGCCAGGCACTCTCTCCAGAAGGCCAGAGAGAGGGGCTTTCTTTTTCCAGTTGGGACTCCCGAGGCCACAGGACATGACCACCTGAGACTTGGCCCAGAACGTCTCACTGGGAAGGCCAGGCCCCCAGCTCCCTAGAGCCCTGGGTGTGACTCAGCCAGTCAGCAAGGTGGCCTCTGGGCCCCGGACCAGCTTGCTTCTCAAGCCAGTATGGTGCGGAGATAGCCAAGCTTGGGCAGATGGGAGAGGGGTCTGGAGAGATCCCCTAGACATGTCCCTCCCAGCTCCCCTTAGACATTAGCTCTTCCCTCCTCAGGCCTCCTTCTCCCCATTGGTGGGTAATGTGTGCTCCTGGGCTCACAGAGGTAGTTCAGAAGGGTCCTGGCTCACAGCGCCCCGAGTAAGCAGGCGTACAACTGTTGCCAAGGGCTTCCTGACTGCCATCACTTCTCAGAAGCAGATCCTCAGGCTCTCCTTCCACAGCACCGCTGGGGGGTTCCCAAGCACCAGCCTTTAGACCCACAGACATGCAGCATGCCTGTGGGACGAGCATGGCCACACCTTGGGAGGAACTTGTCTGGTGCAGTGCACACAGGTGCTGGGGGCGGGATCCAGTGTGGATCTCAGAGGGGCTGGGGGCAGGATCCCAGTGTGGATCTCAGAAGGGGCTGTGGGAGGGATCCAGTGTGGAGCTCAGAAGGGGTTATGGGCGGGAGCCTCAGCCAGAGCAGGGGAGGAGGGCCAGGGTCTGTGGAGATCAGCTCGCTGAGGGGTGGGAGGGCAGGAGAGGACTGTGCCGGGTCCGTGTGGTGTGGCACTCACGCACACCTCCCTGCTACAGATGATGATGCAGTACCTGTACTACGGGGGGACCGAGACCCTGGACATCCCCACAGCCGACATCCTGGAGGTGAGTATCAGGCTCGGGGATGCTTGGAGCAGGGACAACCCCCGACTCCAGATGTCCATGTCTGACCCCTGTCTCCCCAGCCCTCAACCTCGTCCGCACTCAGACTGCAAGCATTGGTGGGACAAGGGGGGCAGAGCGAGGCTCCTTCAGAGCACCTCACTCTTGTCTGGCAGGCAGGTGGTTCTCGGAGAAGGGCTGTGGTGTCAGTGGAACCATGGCTCCTAGACCAGGCCCCAGGGCTTAGACAGGGGAAGCCAGCCCAGGAGGGTTTAAACTTCCCCGTATGTCTGTGGAAAGCACAGCCCCACTTACAGCCAGGCAGCCAGCCCGGGCAGCCTTAGAGCTAAAGGCCTATGGCAGGGAAGCCCTGCCAACGTCTGCCAGCCTTTGTGGCCCCGGTGCCCGAATGCCTGGAACAAAAGGAGATGGAGCAGCTTGGCCAGCAGACTTGCTTGCAGGTGGGAGGCCCCTGGGGATGGGAGGGAGCAGGACCCCAGGCCCCTGAAGCTTTCTGTCCATGAGGCCCGGCCAAGGCCTGTGCTCAGATCTGTGGCCTCCCTCCCTCCTGCCCTCCGCAGCTGCTGTCTGCAGCCAGCCTGTTCCAGCTGGATGCCCTGCAGCGGCACTGCGAGATCCTGTGCTCCCGGACCATCAGCGTGGACAGCGCTGTGAGCACCTACAAGTACGCCAAGGTGAGGCCGCCGGGGCCCAGGGTCTGGCCAGGTGTGGGTGGCCGCTGGCTTTGAGAAGAGGGGGCTAAGGAAGGACTCGAAGCGCAGGGGCAGCAACAGACAAGGGCGTCAAGCTGGGTGGATCCCAGGTGCCATTCCAGCTCAGGCTGTTAGATTTGGGGTTGAACACCAGCACCCCCAACAGTCTGATCCCCCTACACTGCCCCCAGTGCCCATCCATCCAGTTTCTCACACCCAGGGCTCGGCAGTCCTGTTCTCCAGGCCTCTGCATGGGGGCTCAACACCCTGCAGGGCATTGCGGTGTCCCTGTCCCTGTCTTCACGGCCTCATCCCCTCGATGGCTGCGTCAGCCTCTCCACTTCCCAGCTTTGGCCCTGTAATCTGGAATGTTCCTCTTAACACAAAGGAGCCGTGTCCCACCCTGCACAAACCCAACCCTGCTGTTTCCAGGCCTGGGGTCCCATCGCGCTCCTCATCCCTGCCTCCCTCCTTTCCCACGCCGGTCTGTGTCCTACTGCTCACCATGACCAGCCAGTCCCACCGGGGACCCGTGGCACCCACCGCCTCTCCCGCTAGCTCTGCCCAGAGCAGTCTGCAGGACTCCAGCCCCAGCTGTCCCCAGCCCCCTGCCCACCACAGGCCACCCTGTAGTCAGCCACCTTCCCCACTTTGACTCCTCTTGCAGCACCAATCCTGGGCTGCAGTCGCCCTCCTGGGTTCCTCCCTGAGCAAGCGCATTGCCGAGACCTTGACCATAGAACCCGGAGGGGCGCTCCGTTAAACATGACCGTGTGCGCCCCTATGCGCTGGGCCATATGTGGACCCCCCCTATCCCTGCCCTTAGAAATGTAGCTCTGGATGCAGGGGGAGGGGTCACCAGTGGAACCCGGGCAAAGGTGACAGCATGTACCCTCCTGGGAAATATGTGGGGCACAGAGAGGTGGGCAATTCTGGGAGACAACTGAGGCTGCTGTCTCACGGACCCCACCTCCCTCCCCCAGATCCACAATGCCCCGGAGCTGGCGCTGTTCTGCGAGGGCTTCTTCCTCAAGCACATGCAGGCCCTTCTGGAGCAGGACTCCTTCCGGCAGCTCATCTACGGGCGCAGCAGCAAGGTGCAGGGCCTGGACCCACTGCGCGACCTGCAGAGCACGCTGGCTGAGCGCGTGCACTCTGTCTACGTCACCTCCCGGGTGTGAGCCTCCAGCCCGCTGGACCTGTCCCTGAGACAGCTCGCAGGATGGGGGAGAGGCTTCCAGGGCTGGAGCAATGTAGGGTGGCCTTAGGATAGGCTGCTCAGCCACACATCCCCAGCCTACCCGAGGCTCAGCCTCCAGGATGGTCACACCTCTGTGGGTAGTCTGCCCCTGGGGGGCAGCTGTGCCCTGAGCCCACCCTCAACCCCTCTGCCCCCAAAATTGTGTGCTAGCCAGGGAGGGCACAGGGCACAAGGATGTGGCCAGAGGTGGTGGCTCCCTCCACCCTCCTTGTCTGCCCCCTGCTCACCGGTCCTTGGCTCCAGTACTTCTGACCCTGCTCTGCCAGCTGTGCCCACCCCAGGCATCTGCAAGCTGTGACTGTGCCCAGCTGGGGCTCTTGGGGGTGGTGATGGTAGATGTCCTCATCCAGGTCTTCTAGAATGTACTCCGTGGGCCACAGGCCGTTTCATTAGAAAACTGGTGTTTGTCTCACTGCTCCTGGGAAAGGCAGCCCAAGGCCCTGGTCTGAGTCCCCCGCCCACCCGCCAGGGATGGTGACCCCGCCTGCAAGGACCTCCAGAGCAGCCTGTCTGGGAGCCGGCAGTGGAAGGCTTTGCCCCTGGGAACTGGCGGCCTTGGCTCTGGCTGCTGCTTTGAGGGCCCGTCAAGGGTGGGTCTGAGACCGCCTGCCCTGGGTTGGCCTCTTCCTCGGTTGCTCTCAAGTGAAGCGGCAAAATGAGGCAAATGCTGGGGATGGGGAGGGGGGCTGAAGGGCAGGGAGTAGGTGAGGGGGGCATCTGCTGTCCCCCTCCCCTTGTTGCTCCCTCTCGTCCAGGCGGCTCTGGGCCTCCGAGTGGACATGCAGTGTCCAGCCCGGACACTCGTCCTGCTTATGGCCAGACACGGGAGAATTAGGCATAGCTTGTCCTGGTGCAGCCTTCTGCCCGCTGGCTACACCTGAGAAACTATTTATTCACCCAAAGCCCCGAGGGGGCACCTGGGGAGCTGTCACCTCCCTCACCGAGAAGCCCCGGGAGGCTGCACGTCCTGGAAAATATTTTCAACCAGCCACTGGCGCTGGATGGACAAAGCTGCCCGGGTGTTATTTTATTGCTGTAATATTGTATGATACTGGAATTGTACATGCCTGTCACTCACTGTAAATGTACCATGGTTTTATGAACAATAAACACTTGTTAACAGTGACCTGCCCCAGTGCAGGGGGAGGGGGTGCCTAAAGGTCAGAGCCGGCCAGGGGTTGGAGTGGGGGGCGGATAGCCCACTCAGGGTTATTGAGGAAGCAGCTGCAGCCCAGGTGGGGTGTGGAGCTGTGTGCTCACAGCGCCCTCTCGGGGCCACGGGGAGATGCGTACTCGGCCCCTATAAGCAGGGTCTCTGGAGGTGGCTGAAGGTCTTGTCCCTGGTAGGGGGAGAAGCGGTAGGGTTCAGGTTCAACCTCCCCATAAGCCCTTTCTCCTAGTCTGATACACAGCCGAGCGCGAGATGGAGTTCCAATCTGGCCTCCAGAATTTGGGGGTGGGCGGTTTGCAGAGGGGCCCGCCCTGCAGCTGACCCACGAGCTGTGCTACGCCGCCGTGCTACGCCGCCGGCACTTCCCAGGAGCTCCTCTCCATGCCACCCGGTGGGGTGCACCCTCCATTCCTCCACCCCAGTCCTGTCCCCCTCCCCACCGGAGGCCAGCCCAGCCCAGCTCTCCTGGCTGGACTGGTTCAGGTGCTTACTCGTCCAAGCCTCCCTCCCTCTGCCAGCCCAAACAGCCACTCTGTGGACTCCAGCCTCCTTCGGTGAGAAATTGCCTGTTCAGGCTGGAGGGACCCTGCCCCTTCCTCCCCACCAGCAGACTGGCTGCTCATGTGGTGAAAGCCTTGGATAATGAGTCATTTCTCCGCGGTGACGGTCACTTATTTCCCCCCTCCCCCAGCAGCCCCTTTGTGTGGGTCTTCTGGTCACTCGGGCTCCTGTGGGACGTGGGGCAGATGAGCACCGAAGGGCTGACGGTGGGGGGAGGAGACCATTCCACAATCTTCTTTGTTCAGCTCTTTCAGCCCCTGCCCCATCCCAGTGACAGCACTCAAAGCAGGCCTGTCTGAACTCATCTTGCAAATGCGACTTCCTGAGCCAGCCAGGCCTCATGCGCCACTGTCTGGGGACCAGAGGGAGGGGCTGGCTCTCCCCCCCTGGTTTGGAGGACCAAGACTGCTACACAAGGTGAGTCCTGCTGGGACCCCGTACACACCCTGGGCTGGGGGCCAGCTAGCTTTCGTTCTGTGTGAACTCGAAGGCGGTCTCAGAAGGAAGAGACCAGATCGCTCGCTCCCTGCTGCCCATCGGGACTCTTGTTCAAAGCCCATCCTTACTCAGGGACAGCTTGGGTCAGGCACACTTTAGTCTTCAAAACGATGCCTTAGCTTTGTAACGTTCAGCTCCCAGTTCCTGTGTGCCTGAGCAACTCTCCGTTATTCCCCAATGAGCGCCCGAACCCTGAGATGCGGGGGTCACTTGCTGCACGTAGTTGTAGTCTAAGTCCTGGCATTGCTGCCCTGAAGGAGCTCAGGCCGACTCCAGGGTAGAACTGCTGCTGTGAATTTTATGATGGTAGAAAACCCGTCCTGTCCACGAGGAGCGGCTGGTGGTTTTGAACTACTGGCCATTGTGGTTAGCAGCCCAACCCGCCCCCCCCCCCCCCCCCCCCCCCCCCTTACTGTGCACCAGGGCTCCAACCATCCAGCCCAGAAATCCCATGGGGCAGTTCCACTTGATTTAGGAGGGAGCATCCAAAAGTTCATGGAAAAGTTCTATTAGCTTTCCCCACATACTTCTAGAAATTCCCCCTTGTCAGGGTCAACACCACACAACAGTCTAAGTTCTCAACAGTTTGCACCGCTTAAAGGTCAACAGGGAGGCTCGACCAGACACACAAGGCCAAATGTCATCCAGTGACCGAAAAGCCCAACACAACAAAAACGACCCCACACAATCGCACTGCCAGGGAGCTGACGCCGACTCCATGAGGACCCCGGAGAACACGGCTGTCCCGTTTATGGTGGGCTAGCTAAGCTATCCAGCTCTGGCCATCTGAGACTGGGACTTTGGTTGGACCCACAATCTAGGAGAATCCTCTGAGGAAAGATCAAAGCCGATGTCTGTCTCCCTCTTGAACAAACGTTCCTGCGGCCGTCTTGGAGGGCCCTCCTCCTTCCACGTGTACCTCAGGGCCAAGGACCCTGTGGGTCCACCTCAAACCACCCTTTAGTCCGAGCACAAAGGCTGAGGTAGACCGGTCCCACAGGGACTTTACAGCTAAAACTGGGAGAAGTGGAAGCAGAAGGCTGACAGGACCGTCCCTCACAGCTGAGGCAGGGAGAGCCTGTGTGACCCGAGTGGGACACCCTGTAGGGACCCATCTCGGGACTAGAAACTGTCCCATCAGACACATGACACCAGATCGTCCCAGGGAGAGGCAAGGTGGACAAAGCTGGCTGGCTCCCAGCAGCCTCACCGGCTCTCTCGCAGTGGCTGCCCCTTCCCCGACCACGTCTGTGGCTGGTCGGCCCCAGCCACGATGCCCACCCTTGGCCTTGATCTTGACAACATCAACATCTATCTGGCAGCCAAGGTGCCACTAGAACAAATAAGGCAAGCAGCAGCCTCTACTGCTACGGGTTTAATGAGCGCCCCTGACAGCTGGCCCTTCATGGGTATTATGTATTTAAAATAGATTCTCTATTCCCCTCAGCCCAGCTAGCCAAAGGGGCTTCTCCCAGCACTACTGTCCAAGTGGATGAAGTCCCCAGAGGCTCTGGGTGCAGCGCAGGCCACACGCGGGTTTTCTGAGGCACGGAGCCTGCAGGAGTGTCAGATCCTGTGCTGGAACCACGGCTGCCTGACCTGACGGCAGAGTCCCTACTGTCCCAGGGGTCAGCGTCGGTCAGGACAGGCGCAGCAGCGACACAGTGGTGGCTTCTGTACTGGTGGGAATGGGTCAGGTCGAGGCCCAGGGCAGAACATGAACGAATGGTGCCAATGGTAGGGGAAGGCGACCCTTGGCAGTGCAAGCAGAGGGTCCTCAGCAGAACCCCAGAAGTGACTTGGCCTTGAGCTGCGCTTGCCCACCCCAGGACACTTGTGCCTGTCCTCAGAGGTTTGGCGGGCTGTGCCTGCCATGACAGCTTCCTCCCCAGGCGCCCGAGTGCGTGCGTGCAGCCCCGCTACTTCTTCCGCTTCACTTTTGGGTCTTTCTTGTTCAGCGTGTCTCTGTTTTTCTTTAACTTTTTGTACTGCTTGGGTTCTTGTTTGGCTTCCAGCTTCCTTTTCTTGTCACTGGAGGAAAAACAAACAGGAGTGGGAGAGACCAGGAAGCACGGGTAGGTCCAAACGCCGTCAGACGGCTTTGCTTTGTCTGGAAAAGCCAGTCAGCCTTTCCACCAGGACACGTGGACCAGTGGCGGGCAGTGGGCTGTGTGCTGCTCCCACCCAGCTCTGCGTCCGGAAGAGCTCCCCACACCTGGAATCTGAGCTCCGGCTGAAGCGAGGGGTTCACCCACGACCTCAGGAGGGCCCCAAGGCAGCGGTCCGGTCCCTGCAAGCCTTCCCCACCTGGGCCCACGCACTACCCCCGGCGCACTATCCCCACTGCCCGACGACGGTGGCGTGTGTGCAGGGCTTCCTGCAGCTGCACCCTCCGTCCCAGGGCAACAGCCGCCCAAAGCACCAGTGGTTCAGGTGGCACCCTTCAGCCAGCCACTGGGGTCCTGCTTGGGAGGCCAGCCCAGGAAGCTCCCAGGGGGTGGTCACCTTCCTCCCCCAGAGGCCAAAGATTCTCTCCAATCCCATTCTGCTCTGAAGACAGCGTCCCTACAAGCCAAGGGCCCCGTCCATAAACGAGGTAACCTCTCAGAAAGAGAAAACTGAGGCGCCTCGTTGGCGGCTGAAGAAGAGAACGGGTGGGAGGCAGGCTCTGGGGCGAGTGCGCCCGGCCCCTGCAGACCCCACTCCCGCGCCATGGCCGGTGCTGCACTGATCACTCTCCAAACCACCAAGCAGGACTCGGACAGTGGCCCTCTGTGCGACCTCAGGGACTGTCTGCGGCCGCGCCGGAACTCCCACGGCACTACAGTGGCTTACTGAGAGAACAGCAGAGACTGTCTGTCTGCGGGGCTCCTGACGTCACAAAACCGCTTCTTTCCAGTAAGCTCTGAAGGGGACGTGTCAGTAACTGCTGGTGCCGGGAGCACACCCTGCCACCAAGCCCACGCCAGCTAGGGGGCCTAAGGCTCCGGCCCAGGGAGCCGCTTGGAACCGCGAGTCCACCTCTGGGCAAGCGAGAAGCATTAAGTAACAGTCTTCAGAGAGGGGCCCGGGGGTCGTGAAGTCAGAACGATGCCCACCCGTGTGATGGAGGCACGGCAGCTTGCCTGCAGACGCAGGGGCCGAGGCAACCACCACCTTCAACTGGCCTGACGTGAATGTGATCTGCACAGGTCTGCTCCCGCACCGAGTTCAGGGCATTCAGCACGGTCCTGCCGGGCCGCTATGAGTTGGCACTGACTGTGTATAACTGACTGTATAACTGACAAACCAAAGCCTGGGGCTCTTCAACCACGGCTAAGAAGACAAGAAACCCGAGGCCACTTTTGAGACTTGTGGCAGTTCAATACCCCCGGCTGCCACCCACAGAGACATCGCCTCAGAAACTCCATGTAGGCTTGCTGCGAGGGGGCACTGACCCAATGGCAGGGGTGGGCTGGGTCTCCATCCTGGCTGTCTGGTGCTGAGAGCCCTGCTTTCTCTCTCTTTAAAGCTGTCCTGAGGGCCAACGGGCACACGCTCAGTACAGGTGGCTGCAGGGCACCGCCCCCAGCCCATCTAGGGCAGAGCCCCGCCCACATGTCCAGGGAGTGTGTGAAAGGCAGTGAGTGGTCTGCCCACGCCTAAGGGATGGCCCTGCCTGATGGTGGAGAGGGGGCCCTGCTGTCAAGAGTCGAGGCCAGAACCTGCCCACCCACCCCAGCAGAGCAAGCACGTGGCTTTTCCCCCACCCTCCTGCTGCTTGCCGACCACCTCAGAGCAGCCTGGGAGGCAGGCCCGGCTCACCTTTTCAGGCTGACGACGGAAGCATTCTGCCCGGCTCTGTTTAACACTTGGTCCCACTCTTCGTCATCCCCACGGATCACGTATCTAAACAGCAGAGCCCACAGGACAGGAGAGGTGACTGGCTAAGAGAAACACCACAATCACAGCGTGCTTATCAGCTGCTTCCTGCTCTCAGAGCCTGGCCGAGCAGTGAGAAGGGGCACAGGCGGGCACAAGGGCTGGGTCACAGAGCAGACTTCCCAGGGACCAGAGGGTCACCAAGGCAGCCCACAGGGGTACCTGAGGGGCCAGCTGTGCATGGACACATTTACCACCCACCGGCAGCCTCCAGATGCCTCTCCCCAGGCACTTGTCGCCAGGCCCCTGCTTCACACCCCACCGGCTCTCTGATACAGACTGAACCGTCCAGGCGAGGACAGCCACCCCGAGCGGCCCAGCCGGGCTCTGGGGCCAGGGTTTGAACAAAGGCAGCTCTGGGCCTAGGTTCTGTTTTTTTACCATTGGGCGTGGGGTGGGGGCAGTAGGTTCCGTTCTTCCACATGCAAAAACTGAACAGAAAAGAGCCAAATCCAACACTGGAGATTCTCACACACAGTGTCTTATAGGATCACCGTCCCAGGGGTGTCCAGGCTGCCCACCTTTACGGGAACACCCGGCCACGTCGTCAACCACATGGCTGAGTGCTTTCACCACGGTGCCACCAGGGATCCCTTCAAATACTAAAAACGGCCATTGAAAGTGGGTGCACCGAAGTACAGTGCTGGGACAAGTGCCTCAAACTCAGGTCGGGAGACCCCACGAGGAGCCCTGGGCCCAGGGAAGGGGCAGCGGCAGGGCCTTACTGGGAAAGGTCCATGTCCTTCAGCCTCCCCACGTCCTTCTTGTGCTTCTCCTGGAATTCCTTTGCGGCCTCCTCCTGTGCTCAGGACACAGGGTCAAGGGGGTCAGCACCGAGCAACGAACCAACACCGGAAAAAGGGGGAAGGATACAGACTGGCCCTCCAAACCACCACCAGCCAAATGGGGTGCCCTCAAGTGGATTCCAACTCATGGCAACCCAGTGTGTGAGAGGGGAACTGCACCCACAAGCGGACACCCAGGCCTTTGCTCCACAGTGCCTCTACCCTTGGTCGCCATCCGAATCTTGATTTTAGCAATCTCTGCAGAAAAGACTCACTTGGAAGCGTCTAGCAGGATGAACAGGATACGGGCAGCAGGGGCAGCCAGGCTGCCTGCCCCACCCCACTTGGTGAGTCCACACACGGCGCCATCCCAGCATGGTGCTCACTCAGACCCCCAACACCACCCAGCTGCCCCACGCGAGGGCAAGGTCGCAGGTACCCGCTGGCTGGGGCAGGGTGACCCTCACCAGCTCATCCCTCAGGGTCTTCACCGTCGGCTCCATGACCACATCCTTCACGGCCACCATCTGCTGCTCAATGGCCTTTTCCTGCACGTCACTGAAGCGCTGAAAAGGACAGTGCGGAGAGCAGGGAGTGGAGGCAGGCCCAGCCGCTCCGTGCCCAGCCACTTGGCGTCTCAGAGGGAAGTGCGCGTTCTGAACCCGCAAAGCAATTCTCCACACACCCACAGTGGACTTTGCTGGCCACACACCAAATTCCCACACGTGGGAGGGACCAGGGGCATACAGACACAGTTCATGAAGCCCCGTGTCTAGCGGGAGGTGTATGCGGGTGGCAGAGTAGTTATGGGTTGGGTTGCTAACGGAGAGAGGTCAGCAGGTTCGAAACCACTAGCAACTCCTCAGGAGAAAGACCGGGCTTTCCACTCTTGTAACAGTTCTACTGTGCCCTCCAGGGTCACTACGAGTCAGAGTCCACTCAATGCCCGTGTGTCTGGTTTTCAGCATGTATTTTAACACCCATTCATTGGGGGCACGGGACGCAACGTTGCTTAAACCCGCCCAGACCCTGCCTGCCCTCAAGCAGAAGCTACCTTCACCACTTTGCGGATGACCCGGTTGAAGAGGCCCATCAGCTGGCCGGCAGGCAGATCAATGTCCTTTTCCAGCTGGTCCACAGACTTGTGCTGCAGGCCAATGCCCAGCAGAAGAGCCTGCAGGAGGAAGGGGCACTTGCTGCAGCGGCCGCCAGGACGGCCCGAGCCGGCCTGTCTCTTTGAACCCGTTCTCTAGTCACAGGCCCTGCTGGTGGTGGGTGCCTCTTTCACCCTGTGATTGCTCCCACAAACCCCCTCCTCCTGTATGACAAAAGGCCTGCTTCCAGGGTGTTTCTGCTGTTGGGCCGCAGGATCAGAGCAGGAACCCCGGCAGCGTGGAGAGGGGAAACACCGCATCAGCCTGCAGCTGTCCCTCCCACTGCCGCCAACAGACAAGCCCCACGATTCACTCCAGTGCCAGGGCCCTCATCCTGAAAACGGGGACCCACTAGCTGCCAGCAGACCCGGTGGGAATGAAGCCCGCAGTGCAGGGTCATGAGAAACGCCCTCTGGCCCCGCTCCTGCCCCACGGGAGGCCTAGGCAGCCTACCGCCTGGGCTGCCGACAGGGACAAGTCGCCCAGCTGGTTGAGGAAGTAGAGCCGGGAGATGGTGGGGATCATGTCCATGATGAGGTGATAGTCCACCATATTCCTCGAGTACATCTCCAGTCTCTTCAGGTCATACGGGAGGAAGAGCGCTGCCAGCTCCTCCCGGCTCAGGGCTGTTGGCACAACACAAGCAGGTCAGCCTGATACCCAGGACCGCGATGCCCCACAGCTTCCAGACAGCAGCTAACCACTGCCCTCCGTGGGGCATCCAGCCAACCTGAAAGGATGGGCCCAGTCACGAAATGACCCCGCGCACCCCAGACGGAACCGAGCCAGCAGGAGGAGCCACCGCCCAAGCCCTTGGCACCCCTCCCGCCCGCTCACCGGGCTGGGCCGGCGTGCCGATGTTCCTGTTCTGAATGACGCTCAGTGCCAGAGCGGGCGAGAAGGTGCTGAACTGGTAGGAGAGCAGGGCCAGGAACCGCCGGCGGAAATCTGCGGGCAGAACAGAAGCGCGCTGGGTTAGAAGTCTGGGCCAGAGGTCAGGAGACCAAGCCCGGCCCCAGCACCCTCCCTCCCTGTCACCTTTCCAAAAGGCAGAGAGCCAGGCTCCCCGGTCCGTCTCATCCTCTTGGGACAGCGTCTTCAGCATGATGCACGAGTGCTCTCCGGTCAGGTCGTTCTGCGGCGCACACTCCTGGTTGGCACCAAGCAGCAGCCCCACCCCCTCCCCAAACCACACTCCAGCCAGCAGTTTAGTCACAGCAAGAAGTGGTATACAGTCGCCACCACAGTCGTTTCAAAGCATGTATTCATTGTATTCCTTGATGTCAGCTCCCCATTACCCCTGCTCAGCTCCCCGGCCATACCTCCAGGAGCCCTAATCTAGTTACTGTCTCTATAGATTCAATTGTCCTGGGTTTCATATACAAAAAACAAACCGTAAAATACCTAACAGAGAGTTAAGAAAGCTAGCAACAAAATATAAGAGATAACCCCCAGTTTGGGAAAAAACTAAAATTAAAAACCAGGTCAAGCTCCAAGTGGGTCGAGAGGGAGATCATGTGACAGGGTTTTAGCTGTCAAAGTCAGATTTTTCACTTCAATCTCTACCATCCTCTCGCCAACACTCTGGCCACCAGGTTATTCCCATCCCTTCTGCAAACCCGCATCTCACAAGTTAAGCTCCAATACCATTCTTTCCTCCGGATGTGGATTATATTATTTACAATCCTGGGATTGTACAATCCTCCTCAAAAGCCCCTGCACTGGGAATCAGTTCCAGGAGGGGGCCGCAGGCCCAGCTCCCTTCCCCACCCCCAAAGCCCCTTGAGAGCAGGGCCCGCCCATGCTCACTGGGGCACTGAGGCCGGGGCGCGCAGAGACACTGCCTACCTAATTCCATGTGCAGGGAGGACTTCTGCCCTTGACCCACAGGAGGGGCTAATGCACTCTGGCCACTTCTCCCCTCCTCCCTTTTCCAGGCCCAGCCCGAACCACTGTCCCCTGGTCTCCTTGCCACTCCTCATGCCCACTGCCATCCTCTACCCCGCAGGCAAGACTCATCCTTGCCCACCCATCCCTAGCCATAATGGCCACTCTCCCTCAGGACCTTCCCCCCATGACGCACACACTGCTGGGAGATGCTGTTCCCAGTGTGGCCACAGGGCTGGTTCATTCGGAAGCTTAGGGCCCCGTCACACTCTGCAGTTCCCATGTGTCTTTTCCCCACACACCGCTGTCTGAGAGCAATGGCGTCCACCCGTGGCTGCGGGCGTTCTACTCCTGGCTGGGTCGCTCGAACTGCGGAGCCAGGAACTCTTCCTCCCACCCTCCCTCCCTCGCCTCTTCTCCATATGTCACCCCCTCCCTGCCTCCTTCAGGAGCCTCCTTTACAGACTCTAGGATGTGCCCAGGGCCCCAGATCCCAGACCCAAGGAACAAGTTCCAGGGCTGCACAGCCTTCGGGGTCCAGGAGGATGGGTGCTAAGGGCACAGGAGCCCTGCCGGGTCAGAGCAGCGACCGAGGGAGCCCCCAGATCTCTGCAGGGTCAGAGCAGCAACCGAGGGAGCCCCCAGAGCTCTGCAGGGCCAGAGCAGCCCCAACCACAAGGGTCGGCTGGGCGGACGCCTCCCTCGTCGGACGTATTATCACTCACCGGGGTCTGCCTCAGGTACACAGGGACAAATCCTGCTCGTTTCCAGAACCTGCAGAGAGGCAGGCAGAGAAGATCACCATGCAGTCCCTGGGAGGGACTGAGAGGTACAGGTGGCAAGGGAGTCAATCGGCAGGAAAGGGAGCCCCAGAACTCTGGTTGAGGGGACGGTGCCAGGGGACACCAGGGCGGCGAGCACTTACTTGAGGAGCTGGGGGGTGAGGCCGTAGGAAACGCCCAGGTAGTCCAGGTGCTCGGCAGGCCTCTCGCTCATCTTGAGGAGCAAGGGAGGCAGGTGCTTTCGTGGGGTCAACACCTCTTCCAACAAGCTGACGGCCTGGGAGAGCAGAGTCTTCCACTCAGCGAGAGAAGAGGCTGCCACCACAAAGCCCAAGACGTTTCTTGGTTTGCTCCTGTGTTGCTAAGCACGGGAGGCGGGACCCCAGGGTGGTGGCAACAGCCTGCACTCAGCAGGAAACTAGAACAGCGGCTATGCAGACCCACCCAGCGGCCCCTCGGAAGAGAGGCTTGGGGAACCACTTCCATCCAGATTACAGCCGCATGACCCCACCAGGCAGTTCTACTCTGGATGTAAACCGTGGCTCTCCCAGGTCACCAACAACTGTGGGAACGTGGGTCCAGTGGCCACTACCAGTACCATCACGCATCCAAACACGCATGGAGCGCCACTGCTTGGCCCCTGGGTCTTGGGAGAATGGTCACGAGGCTCAGAAAGCTCATCAGCTTAGACAGAAAGGCAGGGTTCTGAAGATCTAGCATTCAGTACAGTTTGTCCCGACAGATCCATCTGTGTCCTAGGGAAGTGGCAAACCTCTCCTCTTAAGCCATTTCCTATCTCCCAGAGGAGTCCTGGTGCACAGTGGGTACTCGTTGGGCGGCTAAGTACAAAATCAGTGGTTTGAAACCACCAGCGGCTCCAAGGGAGCAAGACAGGGCTTTCCACTGCTGTACAGTTACAGCTGTGGCAGTGTAAAAGGGCAGTTCTACCTGTCCTGCAGGGTTGCTATGAGCCAGCGCTAACTCGATGGCAGTGAGGTTGTGTTTGCTGGTTCTTATCCCCATCTCCCCAACAGGCACACTAGGAGAACCCAACAGAGACCAAACCCACCCCCAGGTCGTCAATTCTAACTCACAGCGACGCTGCACCTCTCCGGGGAGCAGCCAGCCCCGCCGCCCCTCTCTCTTGTGCTTGAACTGCTGACCCTGAGGTTAGCAGCCTGACGCTTAGCCCACGGGCCACCAGGAAGCCTTCCCAGGGAGCATGAGTGTGAGCAGGTGCCCAACTGGCAGCTACTGGTGCCCCTTCCGCTCGAGGAAAAGGTCCCCTTGGGACAAGGACAGAGCTCCCGCAGCTGGGCTCGCATTAAAGGGTCTGGACTGTGAAGCATCGGCTCTCAGATCACGTGAGCCTCCTCGCCTGGCGGCCTGTGAACGCAGAGTGCTGGGACTCACCCCAGAGGGTGTGGTGTGTGTGTGTGTGTGTGTGTGTGTGTGTGTGTGTGTGTGTGTGTGGTGGGGGGGGTGTGTGGACAAGAACTTGTACTTTAACAAGTTCTCTGGTGATGCGGTGATTGGGGCTGCATTCTGAAAAACTCCCCAAACAGGAGGGAGGAAATCTGCTCCCACCAGGCTCCTGAGCAGGTCTTTCTGATGCGCTGGGAGCCCCAGGGAGTTCGCCCTGAGAACCACAGGAGATCAACTGACCTCGCTGCTGACGGTGTGGATGTCCTGCGACGTCTCCACGACCTTCTCCTCCAGGCACGGGAACCTGCCTTCATAGTACATCTGCAGCAGCTGCAGCGCTCGGCTGCCGTAGCCCATCTAGGAGCAGAGGCGGGGCCAGCACAGGGAGGGGGCTCTCAGTGGGGCCTTCCCTACATGGCTCTGCATCACGCTGCACTCGCCCAGAACCAGAGAAGCCCCACACCGCCGTCCAAGCCGAGACCTTCACGATGGCAGCGGAGTGGCCCAGCTCTCACTGTGCAGCCCGTCAAGAAGAGCCTGCCGGCACCCACAGGCCGGGACAGCTGGCTGTGCTTTCTGGGTCACACATCGGCACTCCACAGAGGGACACTTTGGTGCTGCTGCCAGGAACTCAACTTTGCAGCCAGCCGACCTCAGCGGGCTTTCTACACCCCGAAGGCAGTGATGCGAGGCAGGTCTGGCTGGCAAGCCCCCTGCCCTCACAATGGAGAGCCGATGAGCCTGGACCACCCACCCCCTCCCCACCCCCTACACACACATTCTCCCTGGAGCGTGTGTGCTCTGTGCTCCGCCAGACACTGCCTGCCTCCCCCAAGAGCCGGGGCAGGGCCGAGACACCAGGAAGCCTTACCCCTTGATAATCTGGGTGAACAGCAATGCGGACAACCCTTCCACCAGAGAGACCCCCGAAGTCTGGATCTTGGAACTGTGTGGATGACACAGGGGTAACTTAGCACCCTGAGGCTCCTTTCACCCCAGTCGGCCAGCTTCCCTCAGGCACTCCGACATGCTGAGGGCCCCTGTCACCTGTTCTGACACGGTCCACGGGATCAGGTCCCCTGAAGCCTTCTTGCCTCGAGACAAACTGTTTAGGACGGACTGGCGGGAAATCTCGCCCTCCAGGCACACCTGTGGGGGAGCAGGGCAGGGTAGGCCCCCAAGCCACTCAGAACAGACTCCCAAGGCTGGGCAGTGTGTATTCTGCTGATGCGGGGCCTTTACTCCAGCTGTTCAGGCCCCAGCCTGTAAGGGCGCCCGTGCCTGGTCCCGCAGGCGTCCGACCACTCATCACTAAGGGCAAGAGAGGGGCAGCGACTGAAACAGGCAGCCTTTACACATTTTGGAGGAGGCCATTATGGGGACTCTGGTGTTCTGTTTTTGAAAGGCTGGTGACCAAACACTACAATCCCACATTTATCACACACGCGCGCGCGCGCGCGCGCACATGCACGCGCGCGCACGATTACACCTTGAAGTAGAATTCTAGGCGCTTTGAAAAACTATTTCTGACTGGTTACCTTCTAATTTTATAATAACCACGTAATAAGGGGCGGAAAACGAACCAACAAATGATACGCTGTGGCCAAAGTGTGCGGCACAATGGACGGAGCGTGGCCGTCTGAACTTCCCTTGGACGCTCCTCAGGCGCAGGGCTCCGTCAGCATGGGCCCCTCACCGACCCTCACATTCCCACTTACCCCCTCCTCCCCGTGGCTACAGGGTCATTAACGCTCTCTGCATCAGTGGGTCCCCCCTCAACACCCCAGGAGACCCGCTTCCGTACCTGGATGACAGCCAGCACCTCCGGCAAGGCGTTCTGGGTGGGGGGCACGGGAGGCAGGAGGCAGAAGAGGTGATGGGCGGGCGCATCAGACAGCATCTGGAGGTCGTTGGGTGAGTTCTGGGGGGACAAACATAGTTTGTCTGGCTGACTCACAGGGCTGGGGTAGCATCACCTGGGTGGGAGCCCAGGAGGGCATCGTTCTGGTCCCGCCACGGGCCTGGCTCTCCGTACTTGTCCAAGTGCCATCTCGGCACAGCGCCTTGAGGCTCGGATGGCTAGCACGCCTTACTTAGTGGGCTTAGACTGCTCGGGTCATAACTCTTTTCCCGAAAAGAGACCACCAATTCAGGAAAAGCTGTTACCACTTCAAAGACCAACTCTTCAGAGCCCCCTTAAAGGCTCTTCACAGTAACACTGCTCAGACTCACCCAGAGCACCCTCTCCCACGTGCCCTTTACGAACTGTAGATCTAAGCCGTCAACTCACGGCCCTCTAAAAAGCACCGTGGGGTGCAAAGTCAGGTTCCGGGCCTGGAGCACCCTGGGGTGACAGCTACGACATGTTCTCTTTAACAGTGGTCCTGTGGGATACGCACTGGCTGGCTAACTGCAAGGTCGGTGGCTCAAACCCACTAGCTACTTCCCCGATGAGAGGTGAGGCTGTCTGCTCCTACAGAGATTTGAAGCCTTGGAAATCCACGACAGGGTGTCCCTATGAAGCAACTCAAATGCAAAGTAATGGGTTTGGTTTTTACTGACTGAGTGGACCAGCAAGAGATCCAACTGCGGCTTCTTCGGGCAAAGCTTTCTGCTCGCTGCAGTTCACAGGCATGCCCGGCCCGGACAGGGCTGAGCAACAAGGGCCACGTGAGCCCCTGCCAGTGGGGAACAAAGGGCGGGCTCACCAGGAAAGCGGTGGCGGGCCACGGCATGTGCTCGCTCCCCAAGCCGAGGACACTCACCTTGTAGTGAGAGGCCACACAGAGGGCCATGAGCCGCTGGAGGAAAACCTCTGAGGCCTTGTGGTAGCAAAAGAGGGTGTCTCTGTTGACAATGTAGCTGGGTCCCAAGTTAAGCAACCAAACAGACGACAGATGTTGTCCCCACAGGACAGTGTTTCCAAGGGTCACCAGGAGATGCAGACTTCTGCAAGACCCCAGTGCCCCAAGCAGAACATAGCACGGGCACTGGGGCAGGGAGGAGACAGAGGAGCCGGGAAGGTGGGGCACTTCCCTCTTCTCGGAGTGGCACCCACCACGGAAGCCTGGACCCCGTTCGTTCCCTGCTCTCCCGGCCCGCCCCTCCCCTCCCGCCTCCCAGCAGAGGATACAGCTCGCAGGCTTCAGGCAGGGGGCAGCCCGAGATGATGCGGGTGATGCTGAGACAGTCCAGGCACAGCAGGTCGTTGAGCCACTTCTCCACCGCGTCCCCAGGTGCGTACCGGATGGACTCCTGCAGGGACACCTCGTGCAGCGTCCGAGCTGTCATACACACGTGCGACGACGGTTAAACAGGTGCCCAGCAGACAGGCACGCTCCCACGTAACTACGGCTCAAGAACTGAAAGAGCATCGCAGGCTGCCCTGTAGCGGTTCGGCCTGCTGTGTGGAGGTCTCATGCTGGGGACAGCCTTACTCAAAAACCCAAACCAAACTCACTGCCAGCGAGTCCATGCGGACATACAGGGACCCTGTGACTGTACGGCTCCTCCAAGGAGCGTTACTCCCCCCTCTGGAGACTTAGCCTTTGTGCCCCGCGGTGGGCAGGCTGGGCAGCACAGGGGCAGCAAGGTGCCAGCAAGACAGCACAAGGGAACTGCAGGGACCAGCAGGGCCCGACTCAGCACTTGGGGTACCTGATGCCAGCCTGGCTGTGGTGGTCATCTTGTTCTCGGCGGTCGTGCTGACCTGGCTCTGGGCGCTCTGTTGGCGGAGCTGCTGGATCAGCTTGAGGGACAGTGACCGGCCAGTGCCCTCGTAGCTAGGGACAAAGGTACAGGCACTCAGCCACAGGACCCCAAACCCAGGCTCCTGGAGCGGGCAGAGAGCCTGTTCCCTCATCCTGCTGACACCCCCACTCCTGGGGACGGCTCCCCCAAGCTCGGGCCTCTCCTTGTGCTTCCTGACTTTTGTCGATACTGTCTTCTTATTCTTCCACAGCAAACATGAAGTAGGGACTTCTGCCCACACAAGTTCTTGTGGCGGCATAGCAGTGACACGTGGAACTGCTAAACGCAAGGCCGGCACTTCCGAACCACCAACCCCTCTGAGGGAGTAAGAGGCGGCTTTCTACCCCTTAAAGAGCCTTGAGAACCCAGCAGGCCAGTTCCTGGTAAGTATGAGTCGAAACCCATAGGATGGCAGTCAGTCCAGGTGTTGGGGTGATTTTAAGTCGGCTTTCTCATGGCTCATTAACTACTGCCGCACCGCACTCAGGTGCCTGTTCCCCCACCCCCGGGCTGTGTTCCTTACAGGCCGCCTGACCTCCCTCGGGGCCAAGGGCTCTGTACCCGTTGATGGTGGAGGCCATGAAGACGAGGTACGGGCCGAGCAGGCTTTTCACCAGGGGCAGGGGGATGGCGGCGGCCTCGTCGATCACCACCAGCTCCGCCTGGCCCAGCTTCAGCGCATCGGCCGGGTGGATGTACTGCAGGAGAAGACGCTGACCTGAGCTTGGGCCCCAGAGGGCACAGCTATACATCCGGGTCCCCACCCTAACGTCACTCTCTCCTCCTCCCCTCCCCCACGTGTTCCAGGGTCAGTCCGGGTGCAGTGTGACCAACTCTGTGGCACGGGGCAGGCCCTGGATCCCACAGCGCCTCGGGCGCCCCTGCTGAAGGGTGTGGGTGGGCACGGCCATATTAGGAAAGGAGGGGCAGGTGTGCTCCAGGCCTCACCCGCTGGGTGCTGCCCAGAGGCTGCTCCCTTTCCTTTCCCTCTCAGCCTCCCCCAGGCGCTGGTGCAGATCCGGAGAAAGGACAAGGCAGTGCGGACGCCCGGACTTTCCCAGGGCCGAGTGGGGACTCTGGACGAGCTCAGGACCGACACACCCCAGATGATGCCACGGGGGAAAGGGAGAAGCCGGTGCAGTCTGCTCCTCGTGCGCTTACAGACCCGCCACCCAGAACCACAGGCTGCAATCTGGCCCGAGCTTGCACACAAACACTGAAGGAAAGCGGACGTTTCATGTTTCCGTGGAAACAGCACAGGCACTGGGACCGGAAGGAAACACACCAGTCTCTAGAGCAGCTCCCACTGCAGAGATCCAGGGAGCGGGGCGGGGAGGGGGACAAGAGGGCCGTCCACTGCATCTGAGACTGTTCCAGCCCGTGAAAACTCGGCTAGCGAGCTTTCCCAGAGTGGGACAAGGCGGCAGCGGCAGCAGTTCATCCCTCTGAGTGATGGCAGCTCAGCCCGATGGCAACCGCTCACTTGGGAGGGTCTTTAAAAACGGTTTTGCTACAAGTTGATGAGCCAGGGCGGAGCGGCCCCACTCCTCTCGGAGCGGCCCCACTCCTCTCGGAGCAGCAGACTCCTCACAAGGGCCCCCCATGCTCGGATACTTAAGGGGGAAACGAGACAAGCCCGATAAAAGCAGCAGAGAGCAGCCTTCTGGGGGAGGCACTGCTGACTGTAAGCCAGCGGTTCTCAGCCTTCCTCATGCTGCCACCCTTTCATACAGTTCCTCATGTGGTGGTGACCCCCAACCATAACATTATTTGGGTTGCTACTTCATCACTGTCATTTTGCTACTGCTATGAATCGGGCGAACCCCAAAGGAGTCACGACCCACAGGTTGAGAATCACTGCTTCAAGCTAATATCCCTGTTTCCTCCCTCTCTGGCAAGAAGAGCGATGCCTGGGGGTGGGGATTCGGTGGAGTCTCGTACAGTAAGGTCCCCTCCACTCCGTTCAGGCTGTAGCCTGGCAACAATAGGTCACACGAGGGGGCATTGAGCCCAAGTTCGAGGAGGAGCAGGGGCCATGCCAGTGCATCTCAAGGGAGTGTCTTCCTTCTGGCTGGTGCACTTTCTTAAGCCTCAGCAGGTCTCAGCACTCTCACTGTGAGCCTGCCCCCTCCTCTCCTTTCAGTTGAGGAAAGCAGACAAAAGCGAGAAGGAATGTAAAGCAGAAAGAATCTGGGAGACCTAAGAGGGGGACAGGGCGACTCTAAGGTAAAGGGCAACACTTAGATTACCTATACCTCGGGCTCCAGGACAGTCTATCTACGGTTAACATTCGAGGAGGGACGGCCACTTCCCTGGCTGACCCACCAGCCATCCAACAAAGACTTGTACGCGCCGGCCCTCAGTCCTCCCGCAGGCCTGCCACATGGAGGCCACTTCCACAGACAAATCCAGGTGGAGCCTGGGGACCGGGACAGGATGGCCACTCGGGTTCAGAGCTTTCTGGAAAGCGCTGGTGGGAGAGGGCAAGGGGCCGCGTATGACACCAGAGCCTGCTCTGCAAGGTGATCCTTTTAAATGATGAAGTTACTGTTCTAGCGAAACAAACAGGAGCTGAGGTCGCAACACTCCAGGCGCTCCCCCACCCCCACCCCGTTAAGCTGATCAGCACACTCACAGCTCTGTTTGCTGTCAGAGACAGCAGTTAAGGAATTTTATTGTCAACCTGAACTTTTATGGTAATGTAGGGGTGGACTCCAACCTGTCCATCAGGTCGTACCCTGATCGTACCTCCTTTGGAGTGACACCCCCAAAGCTGGGAGCCTGGGAAGCTCCCGGCTCTCTGCCCCTCACCTGCCTGTTTGCTAGCACTCTGCACTGACGGAGTGCCCTGCCATGTTTCCACCAACCGTGGACGCTTGTGTGGGGGAGTTTAGCCCATCCATCAGGTGGCAATGACCTCCCTTGGAGGTGCGACTGAGATACATAGCTCTCTGGAGGCCAGCAACTCTCTGCCTTCACCTTCCTGCTCGAGGGCCACTCTGAGAGCTGCCAGGGCCAAGTGATGTTCCCACCGCCCTTGGATCCACAGGACTTTGCACCCACCAGCCTGGGACCTTCCTGCATTCTGCGTCACCATATATGGCTACATGAGTCTCAAGAGGGACTTATGGATGAGCATCGGACCCAGGGACTTGCTTTGGACTGGACTGGGACACCTTCTTCATAGACAATTGCTTCTTATACCTCGATGAGTGTGGCTGGGTTTGTTTCTCTAGGTAACAGCCTAACACAGACTACAGGCTTGCTTCTTGCACTTGACTGCTTTCCTTCAACAGAGGCTAACAATTGGGAGCAGGGTGAAAGCGAAGCAGCCACCCTCCCTGGAAGCCACTGAGGGCAGCCCCGCAGAGCGGTTTCCACATGGCAGGCTGGGCCCAGAGTGGGCGTGCCAGGAGGCTCACCTGGATGGTCTGCCTGTGCTCGCGGAACACGTTCACTCTGATCACGGCCTTGTGGAACTCGGGGTTCAAAGACTGAACAATCTCATAATCCAGGTGTTCCTGAAAGGGGAGAGTCAAACTAGTGATGCGCTCCGGGCCGCAACAGGAAGCATGCGCGCACGCGTGCAGGTGGGCGCACTACCGGTTACCACCACACAGATGTGCGGGCAGAGCCTCTCATCCTACCTGATACTGCAGCGCATCGAATCCTTTAAACACAAACTCAAACAGAGTGTGGAGGTTGTCAGGGCTGGGGGAGGTGACAAAGATATTGGAGTACCTACAGGGCAAAAGAAAAAGAGTGTTTTCACTGCAAAAGAAAGCTGCTGGAAAAAAAAAAAAAAAAAGAAAGCTGCTGACAGGCCATCAAGTCAGGGCCTCCTGCTGAGGGGCTTTCCTTCCCAACCAAAGAAAATGCCAGAAGCCACAAGCCCCAGAGGAGGCACCTCCCCCCCACCCCCACCCCCACCGGCTGCAGAGCTGGCAGGCTGCACCCTGTGACAGAAGTGACTGCTTCGTGAAGTCGGAGAGGGGAGGCCCAGGAAGCTACTCTGCTGGAGCATCATCAGTCAGGACCAAGGACACCCAGCTCAACAACAGGGCTTGGCGAGGGAACCTTAAGTTAGCCGCTGCAGTTCCCTGAGCGCAGGTTCACCCCCTCTACAAAAGGCTCACAGAGCTTCTGGAAGCACCGAGGAGGAGTGCATGCGGGTTGATAAGCACATCTGCAGAGCTGGAAACACACACCCTCTGCTCTGCCCGGGCCAAGGGCACAGAGACAGCTGCTGAGACGAAAGTATGTTCTATGCATTAAAATGCCAGCAAAGCTGACAGTATACGTTCCTACTGTATTTCTTTGTTTTCGGAAGGATAGTTAACTTTAGGTAGGGACGACAATGACCCTCACGTGTGTGTCCACAAATGTTCATACACATCTGTGCACACCCAGGAAGCTGAGGCCAGTCAGGGCCAGGAACAGTCTCCGGGCCACGAACTATGCTCACCAAGCCCAGCTGAGCCCAGAGTGCCCAAAGGTGGGAAGGCGGATGCGATGCCCTTACCCAAATGCCACGGCCCCTGCAATGGCCAAGCCCAGGGCTGCGGACTTCCCTCTTCCTCGGGCCGCTGTGAGCGCCACCGTGCTCCGCAGGGTCTTCTCCGAGATGCCCTCGATGAATTTCAGGACGGCTTTGGCCTGTGAAGCGCACACAGTGAGGTGGGCTCGAGAGGCCCAGGCTTCCACCATCTGCCAGCACTGCTAGCAGGAGAGGGAGGGGGCAGGCCAGAGCCGACAGAGGGCAGGAAGGGGAGAGGCTGGGGGAAGATGGTCTCCAGAGGGAAACGCGCAAAGGGATCTGGGCCCCACTTGTCAGAACTTGGCCTTCTTGGGGCACTGCGTGGTTTATCCTTTTGTTTGCTACTTAGAGTGGGGGAATTATAAACAGTGAGAAAACACAACGGGGGCGCGGGGGCCACCTCACTGACATCACAGAAGCCATGCAGACGTTAACTGAATTTTCAAAAAAAAAAAAAGGCCAAGCAACCGAATTGAATACCAGGCAGGAGAGCAGGTGAGATTAGCGATGGTGGACAATCATGATTAAAGGACGAGCTCACTCGTTAACCAGAGCAGCGCTCTGATGCTCCCACCTGGGCTGGTTAGGGCTTGGGCAGCGGTTCTCAACCTATGGGTCATAACCCCTTTGGAGGTCGAATGGCCCTTTCACAGGGGTTGCCTAAGACCATCGGAAATGGTCTTAGGACGCGAGACCCCACTCCTTGCTCCGTCTCCAGGCGGGGCTGCTCACACGCAGTGATGCCCACATACGAGTACCAGCGTGAAGACTGCTACCCATGCTTCAAATAAGAAATTTCATTTACTTGTAATTAGAAATATTTCACAATATATAATTACCTTGTTTTATGATTAACCACTATGCTTTAATTATGTTCAATTTGTAACAATGAAAATACATCCCAAATTTCTGATCTTTGCATTACAATTCATAACAGTGGCCAAACTACAGTGATGGAGTAGCAATGAAAATAATTGTATGGTTGGGGCCGCCACCACATGAGGAGCTGTCTGAAAGGGTTTCGGCATGAGGAAGGTTGAGAACCACTGGCTTGGGGCATGAGTAGTACTCAGCTGGCCAGGCTGCAGGGCGAAGGCATTTTGCACACTGTTGCCAACTCCCCACACTCGTGCCACACCCGCTGGAACACAGCAGCTCAGAGCCAGCAACTCCTGGAAGCTCACTCTAGAGCCTACCAAGGGTGCAGAGACGTGTCTATGGGCACCTCCTGACAGCGTGTTTATCACAGCAACAAAGCTGGGATCAACCGATGTCCCACAAAGGAGCACCCCCCTCTGCAGTGAGGCGGAGTGCCAAGTCCGCACACGGACACTGTCGGATGGCGGTGGCAGTTCCCTCTGGCTAACGAGTGGGAGCGCATCAGTTTCCCTTCTTTAACGTCTGAACGTGTCAATTTTGTCCTCTGTTGATTACGTTTACCATACTCCCACTGGAAGATTAGTGCCTCTCCCTCCGCCCCCACTCCTGCCTGCTGATGAACAGGGTGCCAGGGTAACCCACAGCGGTAGCCTGGCCACACAGAGAGCTTCCAGAATGCAAAGGGAAGCCAGCTGGTCAGGAGCGGCCGGCCGAGGAGGCGGTGCCACGGCAGCTGTTGCCCATCATGAGAGCAGGGCCCAGCGGCCATGATGCTCATCTGGCTCACGCTGGACTAGGAGGCGGCCAGAGGAGCCCGGGCAGCTCCCCCTAGGGCCCTGGAAGCAGAGACACTGCGACACTGAAGGGCGCCCCCACCCCGCCTGCTGCTGTACTCTGAGACCAGGCATTACCTACCACCATGGGGCCCTGAGGTGGCCTCGCTGGGGACCCGTGTTAAGTTCAGGAGGCCTCAAGCTCCCATGTCTGTAGAAGCCTCACGTGACTGGGGCTAAAACCCTACCTCAATATCAGTCGGTTGGGGAGAAAGGAATGAACTGAGGAGCCCCACCCTCCCTCAGAGGAAGCACCACCAAGCTCCCTCTCCAAACACAATCCACCACCTCTCCCTGACCCCAGCGGCTACAACGAGGTGGACCAAGGTTCTCCCTGGACGCCGGTGAATCCACACACTACCAGGGAGTCCTGTTGCCGCCAAGCAGGGAGTGAGTGCAGGTCAAAGCCGTGGCCTCTGAGCTGCGAGCAGCAGAGCTGGCACGGCACCCTCACCTGGTCCAGGGTCTTGCAGCAGTCCACCAGCACGCCCACAGGCTGCGTGTCCTGCAAGCTCTCCTTTAGCTCCCTCAGCGCCACATCAGAAGGACCCAGACTCTCCTCCTGCCAAGGGAGGGGGGAAATGGGAGAGGGCTTCTGCCACCCGAGCGGCCATCAACACAGAAAACACCAACCATCTCCCCAACTCTTGGGCCCCTGGTGCTCACCGGAGTCTTGGGGGGCAGGGCCTCGATGTTGGCAATGTGGGAGGAGAGGGGCAGGATGTTGAGCTGGTCATCGATGACGAGACACTTCTTACAAGAGGCCAGTGAGAGAATAAACCTAAGGAAACCACGGTGGTGAGGAGAGGGCGGGGGCCAGCAGAGCCCACCCAGCAGGGTGGCTTCATACGCCCACAGGAAAACCAGGGTCTCCTCACCAGAGACCCTTCTGCCTGCGGAGTCCCTGGCACACCCCGAAGCCATCACTGAAGGATGCCACACGCCCATCCCACACATGGCCCCAGGCACGTGACAGACACACAGGCACAGAGGGGACTGGGACCCGGTCACAGGGAGGAAAGACCAAAGGGAGGCAGACAGGGAGAGGAAGCTGCTCTAAGAAACATCACAAAACATGGGTCTGGCTATAACATTCAAACTTCCCATCCAAATCCACAGGAGGGTACAGGATCAGTTTTTAAAAAAAAGGGAAAAAAGTGAGATGCGGGTTTGCAAAAGGCTATGGATGACAGTGGAAGCTCAGAATACATTTGCAGGCTCTACACAGGGACTGAGCCTCCGGTGAGTCCCCTCGGACCGTACTTGAGAGATGGGAATAACCTGGTGACCAGACAGAGTGCTGGCAGTGACGACTGAAGAATAAAAGGATAAATCTGACTTGAACAGTTAAAACCTTGTCACGTGATCTCCCATCTGACACACTGTGACCTTGACCTTGGTTTTTACTATTTTCTGGCGTTTTCATACTGGGGTCTACCTCTGGTGTATTTTGTCACTGTGAGTGGCCTTCATGAACTTTTGCTGTGTTTTTCTACATTTTTCGGTGTGTGAAACCCAGGACAGATGAACCTAGAGACGACAACTAGAACACCGGTTCCTGGGGGGGATACAGTGGGAGAGGTTGGGTGGGGGTCTAAGAGGGAGCTGATACCAAGTTCAAGAAGGAAGGAAATGTTTGGAAATTGATTTTGGCAACAAACGTACAATACTGTTTGATGTGCTTGAACTATGGAAGGGTATGATGTCTGTATTAGCTCCGAATAAAATGATTTGTTGAGGAAAAAAAAAATAACTAAATAAACCAATAAATTCAGACCGCCTCCCACAGCTGCAAGCAGGGGGCTTCTCACTCACTAGCTACATTATTCAAATGAGAAAACCACCCTATGCCAGGGTTTCCGCACGCCCGCACTGCTGACGTGTGCTGCAAGGGTGGCTGTCCTGTCCACTCTGCCCAGCAGCATCTCTGGCCTCTACCCTAGATGCCAGGAGCCCAGGTCCAGGCCACTTTCTCAAGGCTCTGGGGTGGAAGGCCTCTGAGGGCCAGTCTGTGAGAGGCCTGTCAGACAGACCACCACTGCTGCCAGGCTTTCCAGAGGCCCCACTGGGAGTACAGTGACATCACCACAAAGGCAAAACAGCCGATCGGCGCTTCCCTGACGTATCTGGTCAGGAAACCCGTTTCAGGAAACAGAGATGGCGCCGAGTAAATCAGAGGGAGAGGGCCACAGAACTAGCCCCAGAGACAAGCCAGAGGATCCGAGGCTCTGGAGACACACACACAGAGCAGCCAACCACCCCTCAGCTAGTTTTACAACTGTTGCTATCAAGAGCCCTACCTCTTCGGACTCCTATACACCTTCCCCACACCAGAGCAAAGTGCTCTGTTGGATCCAAGTGGACCATTCCTTCCACCGAGAGGAGGACAGAAGGCCAAAGACCTACCGCTCATTGAATCTCCCCACCACGTCCTGATGGGCTTCTGTTCTGTACCGGGAGTGCACGTCCTAGAAAAGCAAGGCAGCGCCGTGAGCGCCCAGCGTGCTGAGGCGCTGGCCGAGTGTGACACCGTCCTGTGAGGCGGCCCTGGTGTCTATAAAGGGCCATCAGAGATGCGCTTCTGGGAGCAAAGTCCCCTCACCCCGACATACCACGCATGTTGGACTAAATCGGCCCGAAGCCACCTGCTGGCACTGGGGCTTGGCACATCCCATGGAGGGAGGCCCTGAGGCAAGCGCCAGCGGACAGGTCTGCGGGACATCGAGGTGGACAGACAGGCCACCTGTGAGTGATAGAGGTAGCGGCAGGGATGGGACTCAGCCACTGAGATTTGAGGAACATCCATCTCACCAGATGTGTGTGCTCAGGACATCCTGTGCCCAACCCTCACACCACTGCCATGCAGCTGGGCCAGGGACATGACTCAACACCAAGTTCCAGAACACAAGTGGAGGCAGGAGACGAATGCTGCCGGCGAGGCACTTCCCGACCTGCGTGTCCTCAAAGCGTCCTCTGCTTTGGGAGACAGCTCTCTGCCAGAGCCAACGTTCTTTCAGGCCCCACTGAGAGTGCAGCAGGAAACGTTCCTTCCTTCTCCTCTAAGATGAGGGCCAGCATCCGGGACTGGCGCATGGGCAGAGCTGCATCCCAGCCGAGGCTCACTGGCTTAGGACTAGCACAGGTCTGAAGACCCAACTCTCACTGCCATTTAGTGGCCTCACCAGGACCCCACAGAACTGAGTACAACTGCCCCTTTGAGTGGAAAGCCTGTCTCACGGGCACACACAGGCACAGCTGTGAGGTTGAGCCAGGCACTGAGGGTTGAACTGCGCAACCCCCGGTGCCTCACCCGCTACGCCGAAGGTTCTTTCCAAGCCTGGGAGCTCAGGAGGCTTTCAGAGGGTCCGAGGGACACCCTGGCCACTGAGTGACCTGCAATGGCTCTGTGACTGCTGACTGCCCAGCCCTGCGCCATCCAACACCTAACGTTACCACCACTTTCGCTGCCCCTCTACTTTACCAGGGACGATGTCCTTCTCCAGGGACTAGTCTCTCCTGACAACATCTCCCAAGTATGTCAAACCAAGTCTTGCCATCCTGGTGCCTGAGGAGCACACGTCTTCCAAAACACACTTGTTTGTTCCCTTGGCAATCCGTGGTGCCGTCACCATTCTCCAGTAGCGCCACAATGCAGACTCACAGGTGATTCTTACTCGAAGTCCCCTCACGGATGTCCAGCTTTCTTTCACACGCACAGGAGGTGACAGGAGACCCCATGGCGTGGGTCAGGGGCTCCTCAGTCCTCAAGGAACCACTTTGCGTTTCAACAGTTGGAAGGTCTTGTGTAGTGGATTTACAGAACACAAGGAGTTGTTTGACCTCTTGACGGCTGCTTCCATGAGCATTGAAGTCAAAGAGCTCCAAGCCTAGAAACTGCACTAACTGCCCAGCGGGAGTTCTTGTGAGACAGGCAAGGCAGCGAGCCGACAGGTGACAAGCAGACACTTACCATGGTCATGGTGTACAACTGCTTGAGTGAATTCACGGTCCGCAGGAGGATGACCACCAGCCCACCGCCTGCCACCGTTTCCACAGTCCTGGCCAGCAAGTTTGGGGTCAAGGCTTCAAAATCCTAGGAGATGAACACCTCAGAAAGGGCTGGTTGTCGAAAGGTCAATGCCGCCAGCAGGGACACCAAGCCCAGGGCAAGCTGATCACGCAGAGCTAGGGCTTCAGTGCCCAAACCCCACACCACTTCCCACCCCCGCTGGCTGCCCAGGACCCACACAAACCCTGCACATTCGAGCCCCTTCCTACAGAAGGCAGTCTGTATGTGGTTTGATGTCAAAATGTTTCTGATAAAATCTAACTAAGAAACAAGTCCTCCGTTGGCTCCCCCCTTGAATTTCACACTCAGCCCACAGTCGTTTCCTAAGAAGTGGACAGACGGATCTGTCAGGTGTAACCAAACCCAACCGTACCACACGGGGGAGCTGTTGCTTACAGGAGCCACCAGTGCTGCCTCTGCTCTGGGTGGGGACAAGAGCCTGAGCCAAACAGGCATGTCCAACTGCTCTTAGCCTGTGAGGATGAAGAGTGAGGAAGCAGATGTTCTTTCCTGACTCCCACGAGGGCTACCAGTGGGGTGCCTTGGATGACAGGACGAAACCACTGGAACTTCTGATTTATACTCTATAAGGTATGTTTCACAATGTGCACAATTGTGGGTGTAGCAAGACTTGGACCTAATTTATGAAATTGTCTAGTCTGTCTTTGTGGAGGGAGTAAGGTGTCAAAGGAGGAGCCCTAGGAAACTCAGCTGATAACCCAGAGGCTGGTCATCAAAACCCACCTAGTGGCATAGTGGGGCATGAGTTGGCTGCGATCTGAAAAGTCAACAGTTCAAAACCACCAGTTGCTCTGCAGGAGCAAGATGGGGCAGCGCCACCCTGCCCCATAGGGTAGCGGAGTCGGCATCAACTCTGGCAGTGAGTCTGCGTGGCTCAGACATAACAGACTGCGAGGACAGCATGACGGGGCTGTACACAGGTCGCGGCGTCACAGCCAGCTCGCCGGCTCTAAAACAGCAGCAGCTACTGCTCAGGGGGACACACACCTGGCAATCTGCTCCCATACAGGTGACAGCTGAGAGAAAACTATGGAGCTGTCCAACTCTGTCACTTGGGGCCAGAGTCAAAAATGGATTCAACAGCACCTCACAGTAACAAAGTTTTCCAAGAGTACTACAAAGGCTGCCAGAATGGAACCATGCAAAATCCAAGTCTATTACTCAGCCAGGCAACAGAACACATACCAGCTTATAAGGTTCTTAGTATGTGTGACGGGGAGGGGGTCACGGCAGTACGGCCATTGGGGCCCTCTGGGCAGGACAGAAAGGCCACTAGCCTGTACCCAGTTGATGAAAACCCGTTCCACTGCTCACTGGCCAGGGAAGGGTCTCTGATTACGTCCAATGAGGGCCCAGGGCTCTAGGGCCCCTCTAAGCCCAGTCCTTCCTATCGCGCTCAGCTGCTAAGAGGCAAGTGTGATGAAAGCCAAGGTTAGTGCCTCTGGATGGCTGCTGCCTTCCGTAGAGCCTTCTGCTTTTACACAGGAGGGCGTGAGCCAGTTTCCTGTGGGAACACGGCCCTGCCTTCCACAACTGATGCCACGCACAGGCCTGGGAACCAGCTCGCCTCACTGCACCACCTGCTCTCGCTGGGAAGCAGCCGGCCCAGCACCTCCATGGAGGCCATGCACTGGGGTCATCCACCTACCTGGAGGACACACATGCCGAAGGTGTTGCCCAGGATCTTGTGCGTCTCGTTGTAGTAGCAATAGCGGATGTTTGTGGCCGCAACGAAAAGTTCAAAGGGGTCGTCCTGCTTTATGTTCAGCGTCCCGCTCTTGATTTTCTTCTGCAGCTGCCGCATCCTTTTCTTTCTGTGGCTGTAACCACCCCCGCCCCAGGAGAGCCAGTTAAGCCACAGGGGCTGGAGAATGGGCACAGGGCAGAGCCTCAACAGTCACCCAGTGAGACCGTCAGGACTAGTGGAGAATTGGGAGAGGGAGGGAGCAGTCCCCTGAGAAAGCCAGAGAGGCATTTCAGCAGCAGGCTTACACAGACAGAAACTGAACGGGCAGAGGTAATTAAAGGAACTTGCATTCGTTGGGCCTGATCAGCTACGAGCAGAAAACCGGGTACAAGAGCAGGGCAAGGGACTAGGGACGTAACCCACCCTGCCATCACCTGTCAGAGGAGAGCTCTTCTCCAGGGACAGCCCCCCAGGTGGGGGCTGGCGGGCAAGCAGCCCAGTCTGGACCCCACTGCACCACCAGGCAGTGCACTGGGGACTAAACCCTTAAGGAAACCTGACTCACTGCCAGCCAGTCAGCTGTGACTCCCACTGACCCCAGAGGACAGAGGCCTCCAAACTATTACTCTTTACAGGAGTAGAAAGCCTCCTCTTTATCCCTCGGAGTGGATGGTGGTCTCGAACTGTTGACCGTACAGTTAACAGTGCAACGGGTAGACACTGGGGAGCATGAAAAGGTTTTTAAAGTGCCAAGAACAAAGAAGGGGAAGTGGGCGCTGACTCTTCCCCCCACCCAAATTTGGCAGTGTCCTCAGAGACAGCGGCCCCACAGGTGACCCCTACAAAAGGAATCACCTCCTGGCACGGGAGAAATCTGAAGTGGGGCGAGACACACCAAGGGCCCAGCTGACCTGCTGAAGCCCAGCTCTTTCTTGTAACACCACAGCACAGAGGGCCGAGCCTTCACGGTCGCCTTGGACAACATGTGGTGGAGTATTACCACCTGCAACGAAAAAGGTCACAGGCCCTCAGGACCCAAACTCAGTACCTGACGTTTCCAGGAAAGAAACCTCCAACACACCACCAACGGAGGTTCCCAGGAGGCATTTTACTTAAAGAAACCCAGCGGTGGGGCGGGGGCCTCCATGTCACCCTGTGCTCACCCACCCCACCCCACCCCCACCCCCGAGGGACAGAGACCAAGTCTAAATGTGCACCCTGCCTGACCTGGTCCTTTGCTCGATCCCCGACGATAACAAACAGCGACCTCTGCCGCTGGGCTATACCATTCTCGATGAGGACCCGGATGCGGTTGTCCACCTTCTTGCGATTCATGGCGAAAGACTGTCACTAGAAGACAGGAAGGAAACGGCTGGAACAGCTCTGCCTGGCTCCCTCCTGCATGGCCAGGGGCTGTGATGACGGTCCAGCTCTCTGCACCCTCAGGAGAGGAAAGAAATCGCCCCGGGTTGAGAATGAGGTCTGGGGTGGGGTCAACACTGTTATCTAGCCTAAGAAGTCAGCAAGAGAACTGGAATCTGTAACTCTACCAAAGAGTAAAAACCAACCAAAACAGGAAACCCAAGCACCAACACAAAGACCAGTGATTCAAATATAAACGGTGCGCGCACCCCCATGAGAGAACAGTCACTTCAGCTTTTTCAAAGGCTGTGAGGGGATGGTAAAGATGCTGGGAAAATGAATACATATGCATTTAGAACACAATATATGGAGGGGAAGAAGAAAAAAAACGTGGGGAAAAAGTACCATTTATTTCTGGACGATGGGACGGCAAGTGACTTTTAAAATTTATTATTTTAGTTCATTTGCTTGTATCTTAGTTCATAGGTTAATAACACAATTGAGAGGTGTTTCTGTGATGAAATGTGCGTTTTGTGGAGGAGATCCTAATAAGGACTTTTACAGATCCCCAAAGTTAGGATTCTAACTCAAAAGTTATCTCAAAAAGAACTGCACATTATCGTAGGTACACTCAACAACCTGGGAAATCAACTGTGTTGCTGAAAGGTTACAGTAAATGTAATGTTACTTAAGACCAGTGGTTCCAGTGGTTCTCAACCTTCCTAATGCTGCCACCCTTTAATGCAGTTCCTCATGTGCTGAACGCCAACCATAAAATTATTTTCATTGCTACTTCATCACTGTCATTTTGCTTGTTATGAATCGGGCGACCCATGAAAGGGTCGTTCGACCCCCAAGTTGACAACCGCTGCTTAAGCCCCACAAGCCCGGGTGCAGATACCATGGCATCGTTCCGGCACTCAGAAAAGGCCTGGGCTGAAGCAGGGGTTTTCTAGGTAGCAAGCTTTCTGGGAGCCGAGGTCTTTCTCTCCAGTAGCAGCTGGCTGGGTTCAAACTACAACTTTTCCGTGAGCAGTCCGGAACTTAACCTACACCATCACGCCTTCTCAAACCCAACCAAATTCACTGCCGCCGAGTGGATTCCAGCTCTCGAGTGGCCCTATAGGAAGCAGGCCAACTGCTCCTGACCGACTTTAAGTCTTTACAAAAGTAGACAGCTTCCTCTTTCTTCCCTGGAGCAGCCGCAGGTTCAAACTGCTGACCTTGTGGTGAGCAGTTCCATGTCCAACCCATTTCGCCATTTCTCCCCAAACCAAGCCCATTGTCTCTGAGTGAATTCCCACCTCTAAGGAGCACAGAACTGCTCCTGAGTTTTCAGAAACTGTCACTCTTTACGGGAGTGGAGAGCCTCGTCTTTCTCCCTCAAAGCAACTGGTGGTCTCTAACTGCTGACCTTATGGTTAGTAGCCCAGCATTGGGTGTGCCTCCAGACCACCTCATCTCACCCAAGCATGGTTCTTCAGTAGTTCTTACCATAAAACTATGTCGCCACCAAAAGTCCCTATTTTATGTTGATATCAAGAACTCAACTATCTCACGTGATGACAGAAGCACTCTATGCCTCATTTCAAAGACTGAACATTCAAAAATTTGCCCACTTAGAAATGCTGGGCTGTGGAACACATAAAAGACTTCACAAAATCCCACCCACGGCCAGTTACTGCGTTCTGCTCTTTGCCCTGGTGGGTTACACACTGGATTACTAACTACAAGTTCAGCAGTTCCAACCACTAGCCAGCTGCTCAGCTGGAGAAAGGCAAACTGCCCTGAGAGTGAGCCTGGGAAACCCACAGGGGGAAATTCTACTCCTCCCATGGGGTCTCGAACCATAGGAACAGAGGGGATGGCAGTGGGAGCCTTTGCTGGAGTTGCTGAGCCTGGGGAAGAAGTGGCCGGTAAGACCCTCAACTTCAAGGTGCGTCCTTCCATCCTCCTCGGAGGTGTTTGCAGGAAAAAGATGAAAAGGCAACTAGAGGCACATACAATTCGGCGTAGACGTGATAGCTGCAGGCAGTGACCTGACGAAGGGCAGCTTGATGCGGACGGCTTTGCCAGGGAAGGCTTCGTGAATTGAGGGTCTCGGAGGATGACCATTTCTGTCACTCACCATTTCACAAATGAGACGCACCGCTCTAGGTGCACGAGTGCACAAAACGAAGTCTTGAACATGACTACTAAACCACACTCGAAGTGCGGACCAACGGACTGCAAGTTCAAAGCCCAGCAATACAAGCAGGCCACTGCGGCCAGGCGCCGCGAGCGGCAACTCCTGTCGCCCACCAACCTGGCTCCTCTGGCCGGCGGTCCCTGAAGGATGAGATTCGGGTAGGTCTGTCCCTCGAGCGCACACGCTCTAAGCCCACCCAAGATAACCGGCAGTGAGGGAGCCTCTTTGCTCGGAGCGCTCGGCCGGGTCGGCTTGGGCCAGTGTCCGCAAGCGGAGCCGAAATCGATGGGTCCACCGACTTGGGCACCCCACCCTAACCCTCACGCGATGGGGTACCTGAGGTGCAGCTCGATCCAAGCCGGCAGCCAACGTTTGCACGTGGGGCGGAGCAGCCCCGGAAGTGAGGCCCACACCAGGTGGCCGCCGCGGGCTCGCTGAGGCACTAACCACGTGGGGAGCGGGGACCTCCCTCAAACCGCGTCGCCGGGAGATGACGTGAGGCGAGGGAGGTGGCTTCCAGCATGCTCTCTTCTCGCGGTAGCTGTGGCACAACCTGCTTTTCCTAGAGAAACTAACTCGTTTCCGTGCTTTGCTGCTATTGAGGGTTTCCCCGGTCATAATTGAGGAAACCGAGCAGCGGCTGGTGAGTTTTAAACCCTAACTCGATTGTTTTATTCGCAAAGAACCCCCTAATCAAACGTAGACCCAAGATTTTTTTTTACCATTAGCGTGAGAAACAAAGTGCAGCTGATGTTCATTTTTAGCCTCGTGTGCAAGAGGCTTGAGATCGGCGCGTTTTAAAATTTTTTTAACCCCAATGAGGTATAGCGAGTTGCGGACACTGGACCACATTCCTGTCACCGGACTCCCAATCGGCAATATTGACTGCACAGCCTGGAGTTCTGCAGGGTTCCTACCATTCTCCCCAGGCTCCCCTTAAACTCAACGTGGCTCTTTAGAAATGGTTTTAAGTCCACGCACTCCAGTGAACCATCCTTGGCTGCAAAACCACCTCCTGCACAAACTTCGCTTTCAGACCACTCCACCGCAGGCGCACACACAACGCTGCTCGACACCCTTGCTTGGATATGTGGATGTGCAGAAACTCCTTCAACTAAGGGAACTCACCGCTCTTGACCCATCACGACCCATTTAGCCCAACTGAACTTCAAGCAGCAGTAACCAAAATACCCCTGCCACTCGTAAGTCCACATGATTCTTTCATAGGCTTTGAAAATATCTACCAAGATTTTACATTAGAGAGCAGCAATCGCCCGGTCCCCAGCGTGACACTGGAGGGCAAACAACTGAGTAAGGAATGAGCCTCAAGAATATTTTAATGAAAATCGTCGCAGGGTCACACACATGCAATGTTGGGAAATGAGAAAATTCTTGACCAGGAACTAAATGTGGTTTGAGCAGTGAGCAGAGGGAAGGGGACAGGATATTAAGGTCACATAGTATAGTCATCCAAAAAACCCCTATAATGTAGATGCAATTGAAAATGACTTGTTTAGGAAGTAGGACAAATCCTATCTACTTGGCCTTCTTTTATAGGGTTCGGGTTCACACTGTGGTACCAACTGCCCTATAGGTGGTTAAGAGCCAGAACCATCATGTTAGGAGTTATCTGTTCTAGAATCGAAATGCTGGCATCCAAGGGCGCCTTTGACAGCCTCAGGAGTAATTTACAGGTAGAATCATGTTTTTGATTGGACAAGAGGTATGAGAATCCATTTTGATTTCAATAATGTAAAGCATTCAGATCAAGATTGTTGAGCATGAGACCAGGGATGTTTAGGGTCTAGAAATATTTAGGAGCAACTCAAATGATGGAATTCAAAGACAGGGTTGAATGATCTCCTAGAACTCAAGAGGATATTGTTCCATCAGGTGGAAGGAAATTTATAGAATCTATTCCGTTCCCGTCATCCCAGATGCTTTTATTATAATCACCTCACTTAGGTTACATACTGGTGTCTCCCCGCACTTCTTTACAATTCTGTATAGTTTTCACCTTGTATTTTAGTGGCAACTTTATTTGGTAACCCAAAACCTGCCAACTGGAACCGCTTAAAACCTTCAATGTGACAAAAAATTTAGCATAAACGGCAAGTATAAAGCCCTACACACTGTAGCTCTTTCCTCTTTCTCCAGCCTCCCAGAAATCTGTTAACTCTTTCCACTTGAACCAAATAGCCTTCCCAGTCACTGGGGATCAGGCCATTAGACAAGCTCTATTCAACTCCCCTTTATCATTGTCAGGTTTACTTACTATTGATCTCCTTCAGGTCTTGGATTCAACTATCCCTTTTAATCAAGTGTTTCCTATCATTGTAAACTAGTTTGCATTCTATCAACCATTTTGCTGTTTTCAGCAGTATCTTTGAGCAGGAAATAATGCTTCAGTCTTCCCTTGACATTTCTGCTGGATAGTGCGTATATAGACAGAATAAGGCAAGCTCTCAAGGGCAATGAGGGATCAGCTTTTTAACATGACTTAGATCTAATGTTTGTTAAAACATTCACAAACGTTCATACTTTTGCAGAATCCTAATTAGGAAAGGTAGGAGGGTATGCCTTAAACTAATTATAAGTTTCATTTTTCTAAAAGCCACCTCCCACCTCCTCCCCCTAACCTGGAAAGCTTTAAAAAGGACAAGGTCAAGGGCAATACTGACTCTAAACTAGTTAGCAATAAATACATAAGCATTGTAGCAGGTAGATCAGTTTCAAGTTGAATATTAATGATTAGAGTGTAGTATGTAACCCATTTTCCTAATTACAGACATTCTTGAAAAACCTGTAAAGGTCCAAAAATCCTCAGACATTCAGGAGGCCAACACCTCAACCATTTACTAAGTCTTATGAATAAGTTACTGACTGAGCATCTCAGGAGTCTTCCGACAAGCAGCACACATTTTTTTCCCCTCTTCTAAGTGAGAAAAGCCTCCCATGCAAACAGTTGCATGTTTACGGAGACAAAATAATTGCAGACTAACTAACTAGAAACATTTTTAAGGGTTTTTGTTTTGTTTTAATATCAAGATATATTAATTGGAAAACGGGGTAAAAAACAAACCTCAAACTATACTCTTAAAAAACAAACCCCAAAACTGTATTTTTCAAGATCTGGAAATAAAACTGTACTAACCTTAGATAAATCAGTAATATTCTAGTGTAGAGGTTTAAAAAAGAAGTCTCAATACATATATAACCCATGTGAGATGATTGATATTGCACATTTATAAAAGTATTTTGTATGTTTAGTCTTGCTACAAGAGGCTACAGTCAATGATTTCTTTGCAATGATTCGGCTAAAATATGCACTTGACCAAACAATGGCTCTCTACAGCTAGGATAAGCATTCACATATTATACAGGACACCAAGACTCAGGTCTTGCGGAGATAAAAAGTTCTCTGCTCCACAGTGAGGCACTTCTTTAAAAGCTTTACATTTAGACTGTGATGAAAGACCGACCACCACCCAAAAAAAAGGGGGGGGCACTTAAAAAAGAACAAGCACGTTAAAAAAATGCACACAAAATCAATCAATTCACTACTAAACGTTTACACATTCACATCTTCACTAATGCACATAAGTTTGAAACTTCAAAGGCATTTCTTCCCCATCTCACTTGGGAACTGATTCATAAAGAACATCACTATATGGAAGATTTATTTACTTCAAATTTTGTTATGTTAAAGGTACTGAAATTATCTACAAAGATAGCAAAATTAGTTTCATATAGGCTTGCAAGCACACCACCATTTGGAAATTACCCAGTAAACCACAATTGCTTTTTTAACCATCCCCCCAAATATAACTGACATATGGTTGTGGTACATCCCAGGCATATGGGGAGGTGCTAATGAAACAACAATTGGCCAAAGTAAACATATAACCTTTCCAATACGATGTACCACAACCACAGGAGAAAAATCAGGAACTTATTTAAGATTCCCCACTCCCCTAACAACTTATAAATGCGAACTATTCAATAGTCTATTTTAGGAGGGTACAAAATTAGCCCCAAAATTCCAGCTTACTAATGTTGAGTATCAGAATAGCATTGTCTTTTAAAGTAACTAAAAATGGGAAAATATCCCATGCTCGTGGATCGGAAGACTTAATATTTTGAAAATGTCAATAAAACCAAAAGCAATTGATATATAATACAATCCTGATCCAAATCCAAGTAACATTCTTTAATGAAATGGCAAGACTCATGTCCAGTTTTATGTGGAAAGGGAGACTTAGAATCGATAAAGCACATACTGAAGAACAAAGTAGGAGACCTACACTTCCTTCCTGATGCAAGAACTTACTAACTATACAGCCACAGTAATCTAAACAGTCTAGTATTAGTTCAGAGACAGATGCAAAACGCAAGGGAACAGAATTAAAAGCCCCAGGGGTTAAATCCACCCATTGTGGATTTTCAAACCTTATCTTCAAACACAAGGTTTAGTTTATTTAATGGGGAAAAAAAACCACCCACCCACAAAACAACCTCAAAATGAATGAAAAATCTAAATGTTAAAGTGAAAACTTTTGTGAAAAATGAAAACTCCAAAGTTCCTAGAAGATAACGTAAGACCAAATCTAGGGGAACCTCCTTTACAGTATAATCTTATCAAACAAAACTAAAAACGCACACACAAAACAAATTAAGAAAACTAGAGCCTCCTGAAAAGTCAATACTGAAGCTCATCATAAGCGACTGGCAGAGTAAAAAGAGGCTAAAAGCCGGGAAAGTCTTTGGTGATGACACAGCCAATTAAAGTCTTAATTCATGAACCATACAGAAAAATTAAATAAAAGCATAAAATGAATCCAATCAGTACAAAGACAAGGACATCAGACACCACCAGAGGACAGTCAGATGGACCAGCAAATACATGAAAATATACTCACAACTATTAGCCCCAAGATATGAAGATCAACACTAGCATGAGATACCGCCTCACCCGACAACAAACAGCAGTGAGGCTGTGGGAGCAACGCTGATGCTGACGTTGCTGACGGGGTTATAAAATAGGACAAGCACGATGAAGAGCAGTATGAAGCTTCATCAAAAAGCTATAAATAGATCTTATGATCTAGCAAGCCCACTCCTAAGTATATATCCTAGAAATATGTGACATGAATAGAAATCTGTGCATCTATGTTCAATGCATCTTATTTCAAAATAGCAAAAATATAGAAGCAACCAAACTGGTCCAACAACAGATGAATGGATAAACTTTGGTACATACATATAATGGAATACTACACATTATAAAGAATGATGAGTTAATGAAACCCATCCTGGATGAATCTATAAGACATTATAATGAATGAACTAAGTCAATCACAAAAGACAAATATTGCATGGTCCCACTACTATAAAAAAGCAAATAACAAATACACAGAGAAACATTCTTGAAAGGTTACCAGCTAGAGAGAGGAGGAGGGGCAAATTCCCTTACTAGGATTATTCACTACACCCTGTGGTGAGAGGAAAGGCAACAAACACTGGTGAAATTAACAGAGCTTAACCAAAGTAAATAACGACACATGAAGTAATCAACAAAAGGGACAATTTTGGTGAATGCTGTCACACACACAATTTTTCAATGGCAAAAAATTTTAAGTGTGTTTGTGTAGGTAGACATGAAAACATATAGGAAGGCATATTTGAGTAAATGCACTGTATGTATAGCTATCTATAGCCATGTGTACGTACGTACACACACACACACACACACACACATATATATATGAGGGGGCTTCCAGAAAGTTCTGGAAGAAATGGAATTGAAGGACTATGGTATTTTCCCACCAGCTTTTGAAGGCCCTTTGTCTAAAGATCCACATATATGGTATACCGTATATACTTTGTGTAAGCCAAGTTTTTCAGCACATTTTAATGCAGTTTTTGTGGTAAAATTAGGTGCCTCGGCTGATATTCAAGTCAGTCTATACTTGAGTATATACGGTAACCAACCAAGCAGGGGGTTAAAATCGTGGAAGCTTCCTAGAATATATTCACATGCTTCGAGGAAGTGGTTTACTAGGTCAGAAAGTTTGGGTCCAGTCTTCAGGGGCAACTCAGTCAACGGGCACACTGCAAGTTCATAAAGATACTTGGGGTCTTAAAAGCATCCAAGCCAACATCTGTGAAAACATTCTCTCTACTCACATAGAGCAAGAGACAATGAAGGCTATCAAAGGCTTAAAGGAAAACACAGGACACAGGACTAAGGGCTCACAGAAGCCTGAACCTCTTCTAACCTGACAATTAGATGGTGACCAAAGACATGAGAAGGTTCCAGAGAGAATGGGAGAGAAATGTGGAACAAAACTCAAACTGAAGCAAGACAGACAAGAGGAGACCCAAGCCTATCATCCTAAGATAACTCTGAACACAGTTAAAGCTGCTTTTGTGGGCCACCATTGGGCTTATTAAGGTGTCATCCATGTGTAGTGTGCATCCTTAAAAATAAACTGTATGTAACCAAATAGCCAACTGTTTCTCAAAAGCAGCTGAGAGAAGGAATGGATAAAAATGAGGAATGCTGACACTGTGAAAATTCTAAGAAACGACACAATGTGTATAAAATTGCTAAATGAGAACCTAATTTGTTAAGTACTTTCACACAAAACACAAACATCACATTTAAAGTAAGCTAAGCAAAAATCCTTAGCTAATGGCTGAAAATTCAAATTTTATACAGAATATACCACTTTCTATGTAGCCTTTCCTTTATAGGTGGGATTTATTCTCCATAAAGTCAAAGTGGGATCCTATAAAAAAAAAAGCATTAAGTTCGTAGCTGGTAGGCACAGTACTGGTGCTCAAACTGCTAGTACAAGTTCCAACATAGTACAGAAAGTTAATTTACGACTGAACTGTCCATTTCCATCAACCCTGCAACTCTATGCACCTAAGGAAAGAAATCACCACTTTGAATATAAATGCCTCCATAAGAAAGAATTCAATTGAGGGTTAAACTATAGAAAAGATGTAAACACAAGTACTGTAGAAAGAGCTAGTGGAGAGAAACATAAAATTCGTAACATAAAAATGCTTGGGGTTGTAAAAAAAAAAAAGCTTGGGAGTAAATCACTTAAGCTGCTAGCTGTTCAACACGTTTCCAAGATACAACTTTTATAAACATGTTTTATTTGTTTTGTTTTTACCATCAGAATGTGAAACTACTGACTTGTCATTTCCCTAAAATAGGGAATCAATCTAAAACACATACTGGTGCTTTTCAAAAGATAGCAATTTAAAAGGGTGGTAGCAGCAGCAGGCATTTGATAACTTTTACTCTTAAAATCCTTCAGGCTGCAGGAAAGATATGTGACCAAAAGTGTTATGATTTAGCCATTAGATTTCCATCAGTGCCTGTAGCAATTTAGGTGACAACACAGCAAGATCCTAGTATTAGTGACAATGTACGTTATAAGGAATGATATAAAGTACCAATTCCTTACAAAAACCATTGTCAACCAAACTGTTAAGTGTCCAAAAGCTATCGAAATACTTCACATTAAATACAGAAGCGGCCATCCTTATTATAACCCATATTTGTTGCATATTTTCCAAAAAGTGCCAATCAAAGCCTAATTTTGCCTGTTGGCTTTGTCTTAATACATTATCAGCTATTAAAAAGCAATTTACATGTTTCTGTTTTCTAACCACAGTCATTTGACCAGATAAAGAACAGTGCTGTGTCAAAGCTGGTAACCAGCCTTACATGTGTGAGTAAGGAAGGGCCCATGCATAATGTAGTATGCATCTAAATGTCGAGTACTCCAATTTAACTGGAAAGATTCCGTCCACCTTCCTTTCCTGGGAAATATTTTAGCTTTGTCAATTACCACTAAACAACACTAGGGCTGTTTTGTAGATTTTATCCAATGTCAAAAGTCACTCTCACATTTTCCAAGTCACTTGGAATTATGGAGCTATCACCCCGTAAGGTGTCGGTCTTACTCCTAAGCAAGGGTGAGGAATCCGAGTGTCATGTGCAAGGCTCAAGATGACCTTAGGACAGAACATGCAGGGTTAAGAATCATTTCCTTCCATTTCCAGGTAATATAAAGCTGACAATTGCAGTTCTGTCTTTATGGGATGAAAACAGTCCCTTTACAACAGTTTCCTGAAAGGGAGAACAAATAGATAATAACTCTTCTGGTAACATTAGGGTGCACTGGCCAGTGTGTTTTTGGCGGTTACACATAATCCTGTGACTCAGATTAATTCACTTGCTGAGTGTTCATTTGCGGCATCCCTCTGTTGGGTCTTGGGGGCCCTCCACGACCTAGAAGACAAAAATGGCATTTGGTTTTTCTTTCAAATATTACTTGTTTTGCCTTCAAGCAGATTTTCATCTGAAGTCAAGCAGCAGGTGGGCAGCTTGTCACCACACTATTAGGTTAAGAGGTCAATTCTTCAGTGTTTAAGCTTCACCTGTCCTGGAAGTTGCCATGCGTAAGTTTGCTCATGTTCTCTACTAAAAGAAGAGTAGGACTAATGGAGTATTCCACCAGTACTCATTCACTCATTCATTCAACAAGTATTTATTGAGTGCCTACTACATGACAGGCACTTTCATCAGGCGTTGAGAATAGATACAGCAGTGAAGACAGACAAGGACCTGCTCTCATGGAGCTCACAGTCTAGTGTACACTCTAGCTTACATCTCAGCGGTAACATCACACTACCCAAAGTAATAAAAGCACCAGAATGAAAACAGACCTTGTTATCTAAATGATCAAAAAGAAACTACAGAACATTCAAAATCATATAATGACTGTAACAGATAAAATAACTTTACATGCTGTTAAAACAGATTTTTAGCTGTCAACTCAAGTTTCATAGAATATGCTACAAGATGGGAAAGAACATAACCTACAACAACATGCAAATATCCTTTGATATGCCAAGTCATATTTCCCAAGTGATCCATTCAAAAAACGCACCTTTTGCTGTTTAATTTCTGTTAGCATTCAAATCAAAGTCCTTTGTAATTCCTCTTTAATATACATTTTATACACATGGCCAATGTCTAAAGAAATCCTGTTCAATATTTAATTGCCCTAAAATCAGAGAACCATTTAGAACTTTGGATTAAGAAAGGCTAGCTCTACTTGTGTAGGTTAACTTCCCACCCAAATAGGAAGTAACTTTCCTACTTTAAAAGGCCAACAAAGCAGAAAGCTCTTAAGAACTATGTAATTTATATCTGATCCAATTAAACTAGTTAAATAGAGACTTTTGTGTACAAGTCAGAAATAAATTGATTATGTCATTTGGTCCAAAAAGGCAATGAAACTTCTATTTGTTCTAAATGGTTCTCCAAATATAACTACACCTCAACTGGCCATTAAAGGGTTTCTGGCCCCAAAATATAATATGCATGTTTCAAAAATGAAAGAGGAATAATAAATTTATATAAATGTTCAATCTCATTCCAAAAATGTCTTACAAAAATGTTTCATTAAGTACTTCCTAAAAACATTTAGCAGGTTTTTGACCTGAAAAATAATTTCTAGTTGGAAAAACACTTTTTCTGACAAGGAGAAAATGTTCTAGGTTTCAAGACAGCTTATATATTAACAGGGAAAGTCATTCAAAAAATTAAAATTTGGGTTCAAGGTTAAGTTTTAAAAACAGAGCATTTCATTTTAACGTTAGCAACAAGTCTAGAAAGGATAAATGTACTCCTACTATATGTAACCTACATGCAGACTATGAACAGTTCTTCCAAGGCCAGAACAGAAGTTCCAGTTAGGAGCTAGGATCACCACCACAAAATATTACCTCGTGGGGCTCCCCGCGGTCCACTCTGCCCAGAGCCTCGCTTGAAATTCTGCTGATATCCATCCTAAAAAACAAACTAGTTAGTATTGAAAAGAAAATGTCACTTTTTGGAAAGCTTACCCCACTACCTCTATTTTCACAGTGCTACACACTTGGAAACTACAGAATTATTGTGCCTTATTCTTCCAGACATTAACACATCAATGTTTCACAAACTGATGAGTATTTACTAAGTGCTAAGAAAAATAAAAGCCATTGTTTTCCATAACAAAATACCATGGACAAAGGTACAAATTTAATCTTAGGTTACTTAAGTTATTACAGAAGCCCAACTTACAAGATCACTCTTTGTTCACTAGTGTACTTAGAATACATTTCAGACCATTGTACCTACCCGCTGATAGCCAGAGTAGTCCCGTGGGGCACTAAATTGAGACTGCGTATAGCCACTGTTTGGAGTGTTAGAGAATGAAGGACGGTAGCCATCATATCCTCCTAAAATATAGGACCAAATAAATAAATAAATGTACCTTCACAAATATTATTTCATAAATTAAGAGAAGAAATGAAAAAAGTCATGCTAGATATTCAAGCTAACTTTTAATTTCCTGCCCTGAGTACTTTACTCTAGCATATTAGCATAACTATCTTGAAAACAAAATTTTCTTTTAAGATAAAATGGTCAATAATTGCTATTAAGTGAAATGAAAGAATGTAAAGGAGCAGGAAGCTAGATTAATGCAAACAAAACCACCAGACCAGATATGGAAATGTTCAGACACTATAAAGACTATAGCTAATGTCGCTACTTGTATAATGCAAGTAGTTCTTGTGGACTATGTAAAAACCTCAAAGAAAACACACCAAAATATTATTCCTCCAAAGCCCCAGCTTTTCTTCCCTCTACCCTTCCACCATTAAATTTGCATTACCCCTGAATCCATTAGCGGGGCCCCGGTATCCATTCATCAAGCCTCTAGCACCACGGGAGCCTCCACGAGATACGCCACGGCTATTGTAGTAAGGCTGACTGCTCCGTGGAAATCCAGTATTCTGCTGGGGAGGCTGCTGATGATTGCCAGTCACTTGATGGGGCTGGTCCTGGGAACCATGGTAAGTGCCGACCACTAATGTAGAAGGACAACAAAACAAATACACATACACAGTTCACTATAATTTGTTTGTTCTCCTATACTTTCAGCAGTGCTTTTAAGACTATCAATTTATGGCATTAGACACATCCTCATCTTTCGCTCCCAGAGCAGCTGGTAGGTTTGAATTGCTGGTAGTGCCACCAGGAGCTCCCGAGGTTTGATTTAAGGAAGCACATGATTACTTATCAGTGATGCCAGAAGCAAATGCTAGATGATTAGTTAAACCAAGAAACTCCAAATGCATTACCATCAAGTAGATCCCAATTCAAAGTGGTCCATTTAAGACAGGTTAGAACCACCCCTTTGGATTTCCAAGGCTGTAAAGCTTATGAGAGCAGATAGCCTCTTCTTCCGGAACTGTTAATGGATTTGAACTGCTGAGTTTATGGTTAGCAGCCCCACCAATAATCCCCTCCCCTCCCCCAACAGATTAAGTTAAAGAGGGATACACAATCATTTACTCTTAAGCAAATAAACCAAAGGCCTATGAGTAGTTTTACACTCTCCCGAAGGAAGGAAAGCTGAATCCAGAGCATTTTTTCACTAGCACAACTAGAAGGATGCTAGTAGTATCTGAGGAGCCATCCTTTGGCCATTAAATAAGAAGTTGGCAGTTCAAACATGCCCATTGACTATTGGGTAAAGGAGATGGTGATCTGCTTCTGAAAGTTCATTAAATGGCACCTAACAAGTTAAATCCCTTACTTTTACAGAGAGGCATTTGCCCCCACATTTTAGCACAAGGGACCCTACAAGAATGCAAACGGCTCACATTTGAATGTAATGACCATTTTGCATAGTCCAATGGTTTCTATTCTTAGTGGTAAAAGTTCTTTCTCCTCTTTTACACCTTTCCTTGGTACTTAAGTGAGATATATAAAACCATTCTCTTTCACAGATAGTTCTGTTCTAGTAGAATATTCAGTCAATCACACAAAGTTAATATATCGGCAAAAATTTATATTACCTACAACCACCAATGCACAAATCTATTTCAAAGCTATTGAAATGCTAAGTATAGCTAGTTCAGAAATCAGTTAAGTGGCACACTACTGCTCAACACACTTAAAGAAAAAGATTCTAGAAGGTATACACTACAATGTGCACCCCCATCCACAATGGACTGAGTGCTAGAAATTAGAATCTTTCCAAAAGTTATCTGGTCTTATTCCAATGTTCATAAGTCAAAGGGGTGTGGTGTGTGTGTGTGTGTGTGTGTGTGTGTGTGTGTGTGTGTGAGAAAATACCCCCAAACAGAGATAACTTCCTTTGGGAGGTAAAGAAAGTAGAACAAAGAAGAGAGGTCCAAACAACAGAACAGTAATAGCCACAGTGATTTCTACCCAGGGTTGCACAACCTTTTCTCTCCCATATTTGGGCAGGTAAATTAAAATTGCATTGATTTTTGAGAATCTATACCTGAACTATATTACATTTCAAAAAAATAACTCTTTAGGTGCATAGACTGTTTGTTGTTCTGCAGTGAAAAAGCTAGAGAACACAGAGAAAGGGATAATGGCACCTTCATTGGCAAATTACTTAATGGATAAACTATTCACAAAAACAACCCATTTCTAAAAAAACACATTACAAATAGTTATAGCGTTATGTACAGAAGAGACATCTAATTAATGACCCCTGTATAAAGAACAGACAGAGCTAAAACAAGAATCAAGGGAGACCAGATGGAAGGCAATATTGCCCAACTGAGAAGTGATGGCTCCTTGGGTTATGGTGAGGCAGGAATTTTACGTTTTTACTAAAATTTTTAACAAAATTTTATGACTAATAAATTTGAAATGATAGATTACCTCATTAAAGTACTTCAGAAGTCAATTAAGAAAAAAGAGCAAGACAATTAGAAAGCAACTGCCACAAGACTAAAGTTAAGTCAAATGACATTATAGGAATCACTTTTAAACTTACCACATCACCTATAAAATTGAACACACACAAAATAGCAAGCATGTTTGAGCAACAGAAGAATTAAAGGCCACAACAAAATTTTTGTACAGGACAATGATACCTTTGAAAGGAGCTGAAGAGCAAGGAACCTAAGATGTTTTCATTCTGACACTGAGTACAACTGTTGCATAGTTACCAGATTATGGCTGATTCAACCTCCTTTGTAATTAGTATTGACTAGGACAGGAATACACAATTTATTTCTTAAAAGTCTGCACCGATGATCCAGGTTCATTAAGAAATTAGATCATCAGAAAAACCCATACATTTTCCCCCTTCTTTTTAAAAAATTCATTTTATTAGGGGCTCATACAGCTCTTATAAACACTGCATACATCAACTGTATCAAGCATATTTGTACATATGTTGCCATCACTATTTTCTTTCTTTTTAATCATTTTATTGGGGCCCATACAACTCATCACAATCCATATACACGTCGATTGTGTAAAGCACACTTATACATTCGATGCTCTCGTCATTCTCAAAACACTCGCTTTCCGCTTGGGCTCCTGGAAATAGCTCATCATTTTCTGTTTCCCCCTCCCTTCCTGTTCCCCCAAGTCCATACTTTTCAAAATGGACTTACTCAAAAGTACGATGCTGGTAGGATTTACTAGTTTGTGTCATTCCAACTAAATCCTCAGAAATAACAACAACAAACACGCCATCTCATCTCTTAGAAATCTAACATTATTTTGACATTTATGGTAACTTGCCAAATTATGATCTTATTTAACAATAAGGACTTTGTTTCAACCAGTGAACCAAATGCAACAACCATGAAATGTTTGCTCAAGTCTCACCATTAGTTTACCAAGCACCAATCAACTCTTCTTTGTTACGATCTTGATTTGCTACGAGGTATTCTGTTAGCAGCAGTGAATAAGTAGTCAAAGTTAAACTTAAACAAATCCCACTAGAATATATATAATGAACTAAAACTAAAAAAAAAAAACCCTCAATGCCATTGAATTGATGCCACCTCATTGCAGCTCAACAGGATAGGGTAGAACAATCTCTGTGGCTTTCTAAGACTGAGGTGTAGAAAGCCTGTCTTTCTCCCTCTAAGCAGTTTTAAACTGCTGATAGTGCGGATCACAGCCCAACTTGTAACCCACTACCACCACCAGGGCTCCAAATAATGAACCAAGGGTATTATAAAAAGTTACTGGTCGGGAGAATGTATACTGGTACAGATAGGAACTGGAAACACAGGGAATCCAGGACAAATGATCCCTTCAGGACCAGTGGTGAAAGTGGGGATACTGGGAGGGTGGAGGGAAGTGGGCTAAGAAGGGGGAACCGATCACAAGGATTTATGTATAACCCCCTCCCCTGGGGGACGGAAAACAGAAAAGTGAGTAAAGGGAGATGTCGGACAGTGTAAGACATGACAAAATAATAATTTGTAAATTAGCAAGGGTTCATGAGAGAGGGGGAAGGGGGAGGGATGAGGAGCTGATACCAAGGGCTCAAGTAGAAAATGTTTTGAGAATGATGAGGGCAACATATGTACTTGACACAATGGACGTACGCATGGATTGTGATAAGTATGATTGTGTATGAGTCCCCAATAAAATGATTTTTTTTAATAAAATGATTTTTTTTTTAAATTACTGGTCAAAAAAGGGCTCGAACCTGCATTGCATAAAAACCACATGTAATAACTATAAACGCAATTGGACACTGAATCAACAATGAAAAAGTCAACGTCCTTTTACTAAAAACTAAAATAAGGAATTCTATACTACACCGGCCAACTCAAATGGTCCAACCCTTAATTCCAATACTGCCATACAAATTAGGCAATCAAACAGCACCGATTCTCTTACCTGTTTGAAGCTGTTCTTGCTGAAGCTCTGTCTGTTCTACTTGGTGAGGTTGATTGGAAAAGCTCTGGTTATAACTGGCCTGGTACTGACTTTGCTGCTTCAAAGTTTCTGGTTCATTAACAGGAGGTACTGGGGCATTCATATTAAACACCTGTAAATGAATACTGTTACTAATTAGTTATTCCCTTTATATTAACAATGTCTGTTTTGAAAATGGCAGATGCTAAGGACAGCTTTATTGTAACTATAACAGTACAAAAAATTCCAAACTCAACATCACACACATAAATATCTCTCAATTAATACACTTCAATGTGAGAAAAATATACTGATAGTGAAGGTTTTGTATCAACTTGGTTGGGCTGGACCTACTAGTCGTCTGGCGGTTAAAACGCTCTCCCATGATGTGTTCTAGTATAATTTAATCAGCTCCATGATGAGATCTGCTGTGAGCAGTCAAACCCTTATTCAGATCAGTCATGCTGTTTCCTAGGGGTGCAGCATACTTAATGTTAAATCGAACTGTGGAGTCACTTAACTTCTCGCTAGTCTGGACCCTGCATCTGGTTAGTCAAGTGTTGGTCCACCATATTGCTACCAACCCAATACTGGGAGGTATCAAACCTGCCATTAACCATGATCTTTCTGCTTTGTCAACTCCAAAGGAAAGGCTTCCCTCGAGCATTAACATCTGACCCATAGATATCCATTTCTATAACTGTGTGAACAACTTTTTTCATATGAATTTCAGTTTTTCTAGCGAACCCAGCCTAACACACACACACACACACCCCATTTAACAAGAGTATGATGACATGAAGGGCATGGACATTTTTAAATAATTAAGACAACAAAAACAAAAGCAAGCAATGGATTTAGTGATGTTACTCTGTGCCGCTGACCAATCCTTGAAAATGGGTTTGACCTGCACATGTCTTTTAATTTTCTTATTATCATCTCCACGTGAATAATTCGGCTGTCAAGTAAACTTACCAGTAAATTGCACATTATTATAAAAAGCAATCTTTTCCAGATGTGCTTGTTTCATCATGTTTAATACAATACTGCATGACACTATGGGACTTACACAAAGCACCAATAGTGATGCTGAAAGTGTTCCCAAGAAGCGAAGTTATAACATTACAAGAAAAAAAATTGCATGTCTGCAGCTGTGGCTCTCATTTCAAGATAAATCAAACTAACATAAAGACCATCATAAAAAAGAAAATGATATTCATGAAGCCACTGCTCAAGTTAACGCCAACAGACAAGATACCTGTGCACTTTGGAGGAACTTTCATACGGTAAATGCCCTCTTTATATGGGAGCATGATGCACTGCATGTAACATACAAAATCTAATAATCAACTATGTTAGCAGGAAGGCTTCTAGTCAACAGTAAAGTACCAATAACTAGGCTTTGGAAGAATCAAGTTGTATAGAGATTAAAGACATTTCACTGCATGAGCAGTTTAGAGTAAACTGTGAATGTGATAATCTTTCAAAATGATGTATGCAAACAACTGCAAATTGGTTACCACTTACACTACATACTGAGTCGACTAACACTTAAAGTTATACTTTATTTAATCCTATAAATGTTTATCTGAGCACTGATTTATCTAAATCTACAACTGACAATAGCGTTTTATATTATTATTTAAATTGTTTCCTAGAAAGTTTGCAATTTAAAGATGCTTATTGAAGAACTGGGAGTTAAAATAATAAAATATCTAAATTATACTTTACAATACTCTAGTAAAACTAAACAAATATGATGAAATGTTAATGAATGTTAAATCTAAGTCAATATAGATGCAAAACAGGATGCATCTTAAGTCGACGTCACTGAAATGTACATGTAAGGAATACTGAATTGACAAATGTTTGGTTGCGCTGTTCACCACAGTAAGAGGAGAAGAAAAAAAATTATAATATCATAATAATTGGATATCTCTGGAACCTCAATTAGTCATGTTCCATGAACTATATCCATGCTAAAGTTAAGAACAGATGAGAAAGTTCAGGACAAAGACTTTTTTGGCTGGTTGAGAATCACCATGATGTACTATAATGCATTAGGGACATTTTTATTGACTAAGCTTATTGGCTTACCGTCTGCATGGACTGGAATGGAGCTGCATTCACATTGATTCCACTGCTGTGCAAAGGTTTGCTTGTCCCAGCCTGGAACACCTGAGGCTGAGATGCAGCTGGAAGGGATGATGATGTTGTAGTCTGGTCTGTATTTAAAGAGATTGTTGCCTAAACAAAGTGAAAATAGATGTACTTCAGTCGTAAATTATACTTAGTCAAGGTCACAAGCCTCAAGTAAAAATTAATTCAAATGAAACTATTTGAAAGCAAAATACTCTTAGTCATGAATTAGGTAAATAAATAAATTAGAGTTACTCTATTAATGGTAATTTACCTCTGCCCAATTCATGACTATGAGCCTCATCCTGTTTATAGGACCTGGTAACAGAACTTGCCTGAATCTGGTCAATCGGTTCCTTTTGTGGTCGCTGCTCTGTAGCATGAGAAGACTGGTACAAGGGCTGAGATGATGTGTACCCTTCACTTGTGGATGAGACCAACGGGACCTAGACAGAAGAAATCAATGCTTCCATTTACTTCTGCCGTCAACTTTTTAAAAGTTCTGCTGTGTAATCTCCACCAAAAATGTTATCTTAAAACGTCTTCTGAAATTTACAGTTTGTAATTTACATTTCCTCCTCTTAATTTTCAAAACACAAGAATTAAAGGAGAAAGATGTGAAGTTCATCATCAAAAGAAACATGAGAAGAAACACATAGATAAGAAAGCTGAGAGTTCCTTTGCCAAAACACTCATAAAAGACTTAGCAATGAAATTTATAACGGAGGCCTTCATATGCTAAGAAAGACACCCAATAATGGATTAAAAATAAGCCTGGAAATATATATATATAACTCTTACCTGTGTAGCTTCTGGTTGTACGGGAACTTGATTAGGTTGAGCAAGTCTGGATTCAGAATGAACTAAAGAATTGAAAAAAGATTACAAAAGTCATTATTTCTTAAAAGTTAAGTGCTGTTTACTTTGTTGATAAAGCCATAATAAATATTGGAACAATCATGAAAATAAATTGGGAAGCGTAATACGGTTTTCAAGTGAGCCCTTTGGTTTACTGGGGTGTGATTCGTGAACTAACAAATGCTTTCATATTGTGTTGTGCAAGGGTAAGGTAAAAAGCAAAAATGTACTAAGAGGAATAAAGGAGAACAGACAAGAACAAACAGCTGTCTGATCCAAGACAACAAACTTTGTAGAGCAGAAAATAAAAGTAGAATTACTCTTGATTCAAGACATGAGATTAAAATGCAGTCAATAATTTATCATGGTCAACTTTAAATGTTCCCACAGGAAATAACGCAAAATGAAAGTACACTCTTTAAAAGGCCTACGCAATCAATTCCATCTGTAGCTTTACTGACAAATCCCACCATGCTCAGCCAAATACGTAAGGTAAAGAATCAAAGTCCAGGTTTAAACTCTATGTTAGAACCTAGTGGATTCAGTATTACCTAAATTATTGAAATGGTCTTACTAACGGTTACTTCAGTGCTGCATGTGCTGACTGGGCAAAAACCACCTTTGCTTTCTTTTGGTTCCCACCCCTTACTCTTGGCTTTCTCTCTCTCTCGGGTTCCACCGCCCTCTCTTGCCTTGCCTCTCCCCACTTCTGGAGGCGGCCCATTCTCTCCCTTTCAGTTCCGCCACCCTTGCTCCTGGTCTCTCCACAAGGCCCTCCAATGCTTTATGGAGATAGCCTATTTTTGACTGTGAGAAAATACTATATCAAATATTTTACTTTCACTCACAAAAGTTTACTTTGACGTGAGAAAAAAAGAAAATACCTATTTCTCCCCTTGCAGCTCAGAAAATAAACACTAATTAACGTTATAGATTCCTATTTTGAGGCCTAACATTTGATAAGACTTCTCTTAGTAGAGATGTGACAGAGAATGAGTTACTTTTACTTAAATCCTAACTAACTCATTTTTATTCAGTAACCTCTTTTATGGCACCTCAATGTTATGCAATATTAAATGTTACTTTATATAGCTCTACTTTTGTGACACTAATGTTGCCATGATACTGGAGATTTAGTTGATGTTTATTTTCATTTTGATTGAGATTCAAAAGTTTTCTTAGAAAGCTCCAAGCTACCCATTTATAAACTATCAAGGGCTCATGCGGGAGGGGGGAGCGGGGAGGGAGGGGAAAAATGAGGACCTAATGTCGGGGG